TTGCAGGGGTTTCAGGGTTTAAGGGTTTAGGATTTAGGGTTTCAGGGGTTTAGGGTTTAGTGAATTCAGGGTTTCAGGGGTTCAGGGTTTAGGGTTGAGGGCTTGCGGAATTTAGGGTTTCAGGGTTTAGGGTTTAGGGTGCTTGGGATTTTTGGAACGAAGGATATCATGGGTTTAGGGTTGAGGGGTTTTAGGGTTTCAGGGGTTTAGGGTTTAGGGTTTAGGAAATATAGGGTTTCAGGGTTTAGGGCTGTAGGATTTTTTTGGGGTTTATGTCTCGTGGCAAAGGGTTTAGGGAACTTAGGGTTTTTAGGGCTGTAGGGGTTTTAGGGTATTTCGTGTTTTTAGGGTTTGAGGGTTTGAGGTTTAGTGTTTTAGGGTTTTAGGGTGTTAGGGGTGTTAGGGGATTAGGGTTTCGGGGGTTGTAGGGTCGAGGGACTTTGACAAAGGCTTGTGATGTTTTGAGGCAATCCAAGCGGCCTTTGCTTCAGCCCAGGAACCTGGCACCCAAACCCTAAGCCCTAAGCCCTAAGCCCTAAGCCCTAAACCCTAAACCCTAAACCCTAAACCCTAAACCCTAAACCCTAAACCCTAAACCCTAAACCCTAAACCCTAAACCCTAAACCCTAAACCTAGACCCTAAACCCTAAACCAGTGCAGGAACCTGGCAGAGTTCAGCGAAGAGCCCAAGTCTGCCATCGAGGGTCTTGAGGGCTTGGCGCTGGAGTACACGTGGCAGGAGCTGCACCAGGCTCCGCCGAGGTTTAGGGTTTAGGGTTGTTTAGGGTTTAGGGTTTAGGGTTTAGGGTTTAGGGTTTAGGGTTTAAGGTTTGGGGTTTGGGGTTAAGTGTTTCATTGCGTGCAGCATCGTGCATGTTTGTTGGGGGGAGCGTTCCCCCCCACATGTTTTGTTGTTGGTGCAAGAGGGACTTGTTGCAAACATTGCCAGCCTAGCAAAGCCAGTTGTCTTTGGGCCTTCCCTACGAAAGCAGGGGCTTCTGACAAGAAAGGGGAGCGCGGAGAGCTGCAGGATTTCCATGTGAGGGTACGCTCCCCCCCCCATCCCCCCCCTCCCCCCCCTCCATGCGAGGGCACGCTCCCCCCCCCTCCCCCCCCGCCCCCCCCCCCCCCCCTTCTCCCCCCCCCCCCCCCCCCCCTCCCCCCTTCTCCCCCCCCCCCCCCCCTCCCCCCCCTTCTCCCTCCCCCCCCCCCCCTCCCCCCCCCCCCTCCCCCCCCTCCCCTCCCCCCCCTTCTGGGATGTTCCCCCTTTTACAGTCCTTCAACAGTCCTTCATAGTGACTCTAATCACAGGGATTCTGGTAGGGGGTCCTATAATCCCGTTAAGGACTGTTGGGATAAGGGGGAGCATCCCAATGCATTCTTCATGTAAATCGTCAACGACTGAAGCTGGGCGGCTCAATAAAGAGCAGAACAACGACTGTTGCAGCTGTTCAAGACAACCAACCGCTCCAAGATTACCAGCGATCCACACGGATGGGGAGAACTGAACTCGGCAGCCCGAGTGCAAGGGTTTAGGGTTTAGGGTTTAGGGTTTAGGGTGCAAGCACTTGGCTTGCAGACTTTAGCTGCTGCGTCGCAGCTTCAGCAGAGATCGGGGTCCGAAAATTGAGGGGAGGCAGTACGCTGAAGAAATGGAATCCGGGACTCCGGCACAGCTCAAGTGTAGTAGTATTAGATTAGAAACTATTGGTAGGATTAATGATAATAATACTGGTTATATTAATAAGATTAATGGTCTTAGTGAGAACAATAGTATGAATACGAAAGCAGGCGACGGACGGCTTCTCGGCGGCTCGTCAGCTGGGTTCAGGTGCGAGCGGTGCCCCCTGGGGCCGGTGAATTGTTCGGACCGACTCAGCGGATCTGTCGATACATGTTGCAAGGTACCGTCTACCGCGCCACGCTGTGTGAGGGCACGGAAGCAGCTGTGAAGGTCCCATGCTACATGCATCTCTCTTTGTTTTTTTGCAGCGCCTGCTTGTGCCCTCTGTGCAGACGTGAATTGAGCTTTGCAATTCTGGGAGGTGCTGGATGCACCATTGCGCGGGGGCTTTGAAGATGAAGTTCGCCTCCTCTCCAGATGTCGGCATCCGAATGCTTCAGCCTTAGTCTGCACATAGCAGTGCCATGACAAGTGTTGAAGGACACTGTCTGTTTGGAGTCGTTGCATGGCTTGTTAAGCTGTTGACGGCGCCATCTCAACCCTCAAACCTAAACCCCAAAACCCAAGCCCTGCAACCAGAATCTGAGGTTGTGATGCTTCTCGGATTTGCTGAAGAAAGCCTATGCAGCGTTTTTCGACATCGTCGCTGTGCTCTGGTCTATGAGCTGCTGCACGGTGGCGACCTTTATCGAAGGCGGGGATCCATAGGCCTTGGGATGGTCCCTTAAACCCTAAACCCTAAACCCTCAACCCTCAACCCTAAACCCTAAACCCTAAACCCTAAACCCTAAACCCTAAACCCTAAACCCTGAAAGTAACAGTTCCTGAACAAGGGTTCTCGTACCCCCTATTATACTCCCCATTAAGGGCAGGTGAACATCCCAAACTATGAGCTTGATGGGTTATTAGATGAATGTATTGTTAGGTTTTTGTATTCAGTCAGATTAAGCGGAATTCTAAAAGTGTTATACTATTCTAGCCGTATGTTATTTTGCATGATTATATTGGACTACTCTAGTATTATCTTGGTATATGCTATGTTCTTATATTCTTATCCGTGCTCTGGTACAGTGTGAGGAAAGTGTTAATTTCATGCCAGTGTGGATGCCGAAGCCTTCACTGCACCTTGCTTTCCTCAAGGAACCGAAACCCTCCGAACTTCTCCGAACATCTCTCTACAGGGTTTCGGGTTTCGGGAATGTAGGGTTAAACCCTAAACCCAAAACCCTAAGCCCTAAGCCCCAAACCCTAAACCCTAAACCCTAAACCCTAAACACTAAACCCTAAACTCTAAACCCCAAATCCTAAACCCCAAACCCTCAACCCTCAACCCTCAACCCCCGACGTTTCGAAGCCCACCCTCTGAGCATCTCTGCAGCAGGCTGCAGGCCTCCAGAGCTTACCTCTGGCATGAGAGACTGCGAACAGCAACCGAAGCCCAGCCCTGAACACTTCTGGGGGCTGAGGAGCAATCGAATGATGGTGATAATTATAGTGAAGAAAAGGATGGTATAGTATTGCAGTAGAAGAGTCATATGGAAGTAGGAGGTCTCTGGATGCCTTTAGGGGGACTTTTGGGTTTTTGGGAAGCTTCGGCTTCGGTGCTTAAGGTTCTAAGTTGCGGGTTCTCTATTCTTGCAAGGTCTGTCGGGGCCTGGCCCATCTCCACAAGCATCGCCCCAAGATCTTTCACCGTGCGCCCGCCATGAAGATTTCTGCCACGCTTTCTGCTCCCTGTGGCTTGAAGTCTCTGACGGTTCGTGGCAGGTGATATCAAGAGCCAGAACATCCTCTTCAGCAGTGATGGCACCGCGAAGATAGCAGACTTTGGCCGCTTGACATGGGACTTGAGAGCGATGCAGATGATGCCCATATGATGCCGTGGTCCGCGTTCAGCTTGTTGCTTTGGGATGGGCTCAGCCATGCTTTTTCACATGCTGGCCCCCCTGTGTGGGTCCGCGTGGCACCGCTTGAGGATTGGCATGCATGGCCGCTGACACCGAAGTCCACGAGATGGCCACCTTGCCTTGGCCATGGAGGGCTACTCTACTTGCTGTTGCTTAGGGAATTGGGGGAAGAAGGTACCAGATGTCCCCTATAGACCCTTTAAGGGATTCGATATGGTACCCTATTCTCCCATTCCCTACTACCCAACAGGAAGTCTAGAGGAGTCTACCTGCAGAGGTTCACACTAAAGAGCTATATAAACACTACGGGCGCCACCATGAAACTCGCAACATGTGGTCGCGTGCTCCGGAGTCTTTCTCCCTCTCTCTGTCTCTGTCTGTGTTTGTTCCCCGCCCTCGGTGTGGGGTTGTTAGAAATTAAAGTCAACTCTTCTCCTCGCCCGGAACTCTTCTCCTCGCCCGGTCTTCTCCTCGCTCATCCCTGGAGTGCCCAATCCCCGAGTGTTCCTGGAGTGCCCAACCCTGAGTGTCCCTGGAGTGCCCATGACTGCCATGAAGTGCCGAATCCCGAATCTCAGAGTGTCCCTGGAGTGCCCAACGCCAGAGTATCTCTACCCAGAGAGGGTGGGGATGTTCGAAGTCAAATAACGTGTTTGTGTTTGTGTGTTTGTGTGTTTGTGTGTTTGTTTGTTTTGTGTGTTTGTGTGTTTGTGTGTTTGTTTGTGTGCGTGTGCGTGTGCGTGTGCGTGCGTGCGTGCGTGCGTGCGTGCGTGCGTGCGTGTGCGGCGTGCGTGCGTGCGTGCGTGCGTGCGTGCGTGCGTGCGTGCGTGCGTGCGTGCGTGCGTGCGTGCGTGCGTGCGTGCGTGCGTGCGTGCGTGCGTGCGTGCGTGCGTGCGTGCGTGCGTGCGTGCGGGCGTGCGTGCGTGCGTGCGTGCGTGCGTGCGTGCGTGCGTGCGTGCGTGCGTGCGTGCGTGCGTGCGTGCGTGCGTTGCGTGCGTGCGTGCGTGCGTGCGTTGCGTGCGTGATTGCGTGCGTGATTGCGTGCGTGCGTGGGTGGGTGGGTGGGTGGGTGGGTGGGTGGTGTGTGTGTGTGTGTGTGTGTGTGTGTGTGTCTGTGTGTCTGTGCGTCTGTGTGTTTGTGTGTTTGTGTGACTCAGCCTCCTGACTTTTCCTGAGCGCCCCATATCCCAGTTTCCGATCCGTGTTTCTAAATTCTGCAGCAAAAGAAGAGAGTTACCAAACCAAGAAGCTCTTGTTCAGCAAGCTGCATTTCATCTGAGCTTTGGGCCCGCTGGGGCAATACTCTTCTCGAGGGAGCCGCTTCTCGCCTCGTGCACGAGTGCTGTGTCCTTGCCCTGAGGCAAGTTGCTGGCACTGTGGGCTATTCAGACCCACTCTACACCAGGCAGAGCACCAAGTTTGACAGCAACTCACGTGCTTCTGACGGTAGCATGGGTTGTTACAAGCAGGACGGGCGTGATGTCAGAGTCCAGCGAGTGCTACTCCTTTGGGCAGGTGCCGGGGGGGGGGGGGGGGGGGGGGGGCGGGGAGGGGGGGGGGGGGTTAGCCTTGTCTACCCGAAACCTTAACCCTATGTATGCCCCTAAGCCCTATAAAAGTGGAGTGGAAGCGGGTTGGTCAAAGCTGGTCAGCTAGGCTCGCGCGTGGTTAGCCTGCTACTGTAGACTAGCATGAGTAATCATAATTGACGATGGTGTCCTCAACGCCTCTGATGCAGCAAGATGCTGAAGCTTCAGTGAGGCGTCAGCTGTGTGTTGAGCTCTGCGTTGATCTGATCAAGCTTTGATTTCGTCGCACATTTCCAAACGTGTGCCATCCGCACCACGCAAGCAAGTCCCGCATGGCTCCCGGGCATGTTGCAAAGGACCGGAGCTTCTGAGTGCAACACCTTCATCTGTTTTGTATCCGCGTGTGGGCCAACCCGGAGGTCCTCATTGAAATCCTAGTCGGCCGCCCTCCAGCCGTGCTTGCACAAGACGGCCATAGCTGCGTCTGCTTCTCAGATTTTTCTCTTGTGAAGAAGAGGGAGGGTGAAGAGTGCGCGTGCTTTCTTTGTCCTTGCATCTTGCTCTCTGAGGTTTTCTTGAGCGACGAGCTCCGGCCCAGAGAGGACCTGCGCTTTTGCGCATCTTTCTCTTTTTTTGGCCTTCACAACTTTTCGTGGCTGAGAGGATCGTGCCAAGAGCCGTGTACTGAGTCGCCTCGACATGCGCCCGGCGCTCGGGTGGTGCAAAAAGACGCGGAGAAGCGGCAGCACTGCCGTGTCCGGAACACTTGGGGCGTTTTGAGGTGCGCAGTGGCCTCTCTACACTGCTGCCGGACTTTCGACGCTGGCACTGCAGAGGACTCAGAAAAATCATCTATCTGCCAAAGCTGTTTGAACATCATGATCTCTAGCTGAGATTCAGAAGTGTGCAGTTGGACAGCTCAGTTGACATTACCTGCGGCTCAGAATATAGTGGGCCTGGACTCGGGCCTTGAGCTGTTGCGTCAAAGCAATGCCAAAGCACCCTTTCTTGTCGACGCATACCGGTAAAACCTGAAACCCTAAACCCTAAACCCTAAACCCTAAACCCTAAGCCCTAAACCCTAAACCCTAAACCCTAAACCCTAAACCCTAAACCCTAAACCCTAAAACCCTAAACCCTAAACCCTAAACCCTAAACCCTAAACCCTATCCCCCAAACATGCAGAGGAAGCCTAGGTCGACCCAGAGAGCAGACACGTGGCTTTGTGAGATCTCGAGGGGCTTTTTCCACGGATTTAGTGTATGCGGCCTGAGGCCTAGGGGCCGAAATTCGGAAGAAGAAACTAGGTCCTCACCACCCGAATCGAAACCCCAAACCCTAAGCCCGCAGAAAAATGGTCTGAGAATCAGATCGGGGCTCTGACACAGTGGCAACAGCAGAAGCGAGCCGCATCGCACTTTCAGAGGCCGACCAGATGCGGCAAACGTGCAAACGAACAGACTTAGCTTTCACATGCCCCTGAAACCCCAAACCCTTAAACCCTTAAACCCTTAAACCCTAAACCCTAAACCCTAAACCCTAAACCTAAACGCTGGCCGGTCCTCATCTTTGAGGCTCTGCATCCACGAGGATGCCGACCGACGCCCCACCTTCCTCGAGGCAGGGTTTAGGGTTTAGGGTTTAGGGTTTAGGGTTTAGGGTTGAGGGTTGATCGTTGAAGGTTGAAGGTTGAGGGTTGAGTGTTGAGGGTTGAGGGTTGAGGGTTGAGGGAAGGGTTGAGGGAGGAACCATCAGGACCTTTGCCTTTGCAGCGCTGTTTAGGGGGAATGGGGTTTTCGGTGTTGGGGAAAGTTTGTGTGTTTTCCATTGTTGGGTTTAGGGGAATAATATCTACGAAACAGTTTCACCGGGCTTAAGGTGGCCAACCTGGGTACGTACACTGCAAGTCCCCAATCTCACTACGGTCTGCGGATGTCTAGGGTCTAGGGTTTGGGGTTTGGGGTTTGGGGTTTGGGGTTTGGGGTTTAGGGTTTGGGGTTTAGGGTTTAGGGTTTGGGGTTTGGTTTAGGGTTTACGGTTTGGGCTATAGGGTTTAGGGTTTTGGGTTGCGGGGACATATGTGTCATATCTGGCAGGCAACTGACATGCTCAGAGACCTGACGGCTGCTGCACTGGCACAAGAAGCCGAACAGGAGACTCAGGGATTATCATGTTCAGGGTTGAGGGATGTTGAAGGGTTTAGGGCTTGGTGTTCAGGGTTTAGGGTTTAGGGTTTAAGGTGTAGGGTTTAGGGTTTAGGGTTTAGGGTTTAGGGTTGAGGGCATTAAGATCTTTCCAGCACTTGCACTTGTTCTAGAACTCCCCCGCCAACACCGTATCGTTCCAGCTCCAGTCACCCCAGGCCCAAAAACGAGGAGACCACTACGCCAGTTGTTGGGTTCAGGGTTTAGGGGTTGAGGGTTTAGAGGTTTGGGGGTTTAGGGGTTTAGGGAGAGGTTTAGTGTTTAGGGGTTCGGGGGATAGGGGTTTAGGTCTACTGTTCAGGGTTCAGGATGTACAGGATGTTCTTGAGCGTTCACATGAGGATACGATTAAGGTTCATTAACACAGGTCGACAGCTTTTGAGGTACTCAACGGCCGGGGAAGTGAAAGCGTTCAGTGTCGTTTGGGCCCTCAACTTTGTCAAAGTACTTAGGCATGGATGCTGCAAGTAGGTTCTCGACACTCAATATTGAAGGGCTGGTCCTAGCCTTTGTGTGTTGCGGTATGGTGTTACAGGTTGAGGGTTTCGCGCGCGCTGTACGAATATCTCGAAACCCCAAATTGAAAGGCTTGTCGGGTCTTTGTGGTTCAGGTAGGGGTTTGAGCTCAGTGCGGTACAAGAAAGAAAGCAGAGCCAGCTGATTAGCCCGTGCATTGAGAAGCGTCCATGTACGCGCATGAAGTGTCAAATTTACTAGAAGTCACGAGAAAAAGCATCTGACATCCATGCGCGTGCCCATATGGCATCAACAAGCCACAGAAGCCTTAGAAGGCTGATTTACAAGGCCATGCGGGTACTTGCTGCAATGATTGTTCGCAATGCAAATGAAGCACTCGTTTTTAGCTGTGTTCTGACAGTCAATGGGCAGGAGTTCGGTGTAGAAGCGTTTGATAGGGCCGATGCATAGCAGGGCAGTGAGCTGAGAGGCTTGGCAGGGTTAGCTTTGATCTTGTTGCTTTGGGATTTCTGTAGAGTAAGTGTTGGGGGGCATGACGTTCACGAAGGACATGCAGGGATCTTCGCCTAGGTCCCGTGCACATTTTGGGCTAAAATCGCGCTCTCGCCTAGGCGCACATTGCTTGAGCCATGGCTGCCGCACTTCCGGAACGAAATGGACTAGGACTAGGAGGCTTTTCATGCTGCACAATAGAGTACTCTTGACACCCAAGACAAATGCACCTTAGTTGTCGGTTCTATTTGCCTCTTTGATTTGGTGCGAGGTTGGTCTAGGTACATGCTTGATGGCTTGATTGCGCTCAGTGTTGGAGTATTCCATCCTTTCGTCATCTTTTCTGCGCGGCTGCTAACTTCAGCCCGTGTTCCCGTGTCGCAAGCGGAGGCAAGCGGAGGCAAGCGGTCGCTGTGTTTGATGAGTCGTCCACGCCCGCTGCTCTGCTGGCGCTGCGTGCGCATTTTCGAACTCGCTAGACCCTGCAAGAAGCGCCAGATCCACGTTCCCGATGCTTTCGGGAAACAAACGACAATAATCCCCCTAAACCCTAAACCCTAACCCTAAACCCTAAACCCCTGTGCCCTCAAGGTTTCGATGGTGCTCAACCAACACCTAAGACCCAAACAGAGTCGGGCGGTGTTTTTTTATTGACGGTTTGGGTGCCCTCGTAAACCCCTGAGCTGTGCAAGAACTGAGTGAAGAAGCTTGTTGGAATCGTGAGCGGCCTAGATTCTTACATCGCGCAGTTTTAAGCCCTTGCCCAACGAAGTAGGTTGCGGACCTTCAAGGACATTCCTGGTCGAGATCAGGGTGACCAACCTGAAGTATGTCATCAAGCTACACCAATTGCCAAAGCCCATGTAATCTTCCAACCTGGCAGGGAGGACTCGACGACTGCCTCACCCAAAAATGCGCTGAAACAGCCTGGCTTTCCCCAGCTGGAGTCGGCAGAAGTCTTGGGCCAACTCCTCCAGCACGCCCACCAGGTCAACTGCCCACCTCGCCAGGCGCATCCCGCTGCACAGGCCCAGGCGGCCCAGGTGCTCCTGCCTTCACCAAACTTTGCACACCCAAAGCAGGCAAGCTTGCACCAGGCGCAACTGCAAGTGAGACTCTCCCCCGTGCAGCACAAACGGCAGACACAGGCTCTGTCACCCGGTGCCGTCGTGCAGATGTCACCGACGGCTGCCTTGCAGGTCTGGCAGCCCCTTTCCCCAGGTCATGGACCAACTGGACCGCAACCTCTGCAGTTGATGCAGGTGGCCGCCTGCCCTCGCCCGATAAATCGACCCTGTGGACCCGCGGTGACTCCCGCGGGGCCTGCTTCCCCTCCAGCGAACCTGCGGATGACGCATGCAAAGTCCATGCACGAGACGCAGGCACCGATTGCAGAACAGACGCCAGGGTTTCAGTTTAGGAACTTCAATGAGTCATCTCCTGCAAAGCATCTTAAGTGCCTCTTGGAGACAGAGTTCCTCTTCAGGTGGAGCCCAAAGGAATCGACCTTGGTCAACGAGCCAGCTCTTTGGTGCACACCCAAGGATCCCAAGAGCTCTCACCTCTTGGGTGCCTTGTGCTGCGCTGCGCCTCAGCTGCCTCTCAGGCGGCTCCTGTTCTGGTCGGAGATCGACAGCCCCCAGGCCTGTTTGCTTGACTTGTCCCATGTCGTTATTGTGTTACCTGCTTGGAATTGAGTGCGTGCACACCTCGCAAGTAGGGTAGAGACATCTGATGCATTCTGCTTTGGCGAAGGCGCCGAGGACGCTACTGAAGCGCGTAGCGAATCTGTCTGATAGCCCGTTTGACACTCAATTTGTCAGCACTTGAGGCATATGCGCCCAAGGCACAACCCAACCTTCGCAGCAGCTTCTAGGACGACTTAGGGACTTAGGGTGTGTCTAGGCATCACTCCTCGGGCAGTCAGGGCGTGAACGCTGCCGCAAGTGCTGCCACAGCTCAGCGTGATGTGTTGCGTGATGTGTTCGTGGTCACATCATCACTCAAAACTCCTGAAATGCAAGCCTGATCCTCGGCGGACCCTTCTGCAACTTCAAAATTGCATCGTTCGCTTGCTGTCTGCAGATAGCAGCGGTGCATGTCTGCATGTTATGCTAAGCATGATCAGGGCAAGTGCAGTTCTCTGGACTTGTTTTGTTCAAGCTGTAACGTGGTCAGAGCGGCGACGTCTCGTCATCGAGTGCATGTTGGAGCATGAATTTTCCTTGACAGCCCAACTAGGAAATCAGTAGTGCAACAGCTCAGCTCTCTCAGGGTAGCCATCCCAGACCGATTCGGCGGCACATGGCTGAACCCCATGCCACCGCGCAATGCCAAGCGAGCTGAAGCTCGGCTGCGGGAGATTTTTGAGTTGCCAAGGTTTGTGTACAGAGACAGTATCCCCAGAAAAAGGCTTCGCCTTCTCGCTTTGATGCGGTCATGCTCGTTCTGCTTCAGGCACCAGCTGGGGCTGGCGAGACCGCTCAAGGCGCCCGCATGTGGAGTGTTGGAGGTCCCAATCGACGCCCGGGCAACATGACTTGGCATTCCCAGCAGGTTCTGCCAAGAAGAGGCAGAGGGCCTGTTCGTCGGTACTTCACACTGGTGGACCGTGCAAAGGCACGTGGTGGATGCATTCAGAACTGCAGATGCATGCAGGCCAGTAGCTGATGAAGAACCTGCGGCGGCTTGTGCCACAGACGTGAAGTCTTCCGTGTCCGTCTCCTAATATCTACTCTGCAGTCGCACGCTGCCTCGAGGCCAGTGCAACACTCGCCCCGGAAGAAGCTGCGCATGTAGTCGATCCGCCCCAAGAAGAAGAAGGCGAAGAAGGCGAAGTAGGGTTTAGGGTTTAGGGTTTAGGGTTTAGGGTTTAGGGTTTAGGGTTTAGGGTTTAGGGTTTGAAGCACGTTACAGTCATCGCGAGCTTCAAGCCCGTGGCTCCCGCTGCCAGGAAACACCCAGGACGAGGCCCCTCAAGAGCTTTCCAGGAAGCAGACCACGGGGAGCTCGGCCAACCGACGGACCCGCTGCGCCCCTGAGGAGCCACCTTGTCAAGTGATCATCATCATGACGGGCTTAAGGTTTAGGGTTTAGGGAGTAGGGAGTAGGGTTTCGGGAGAATTTACGGTCTATAGGGTTAGGGCTGAGGGTTGGGGTATAGAGTTTAGGGATTGTGATGATGATTGTGTTAATTTGAGTGCCACGCCGAGCCGAGAAAGGATGCGCTTCGAGATGTTGTGATCGGATACATCGGCGACGATGAGGAGGATCCACCGCAGGCCTCTTCCAAGCAGAATCAGATGGGGCCACGCGCTTTTGTTAACGCCTGGTGCTTTCAGGTTGGCTCTACCGCGTCCCGCCAGAGCAAGGATATCCAGCAACTCATCACCGAAGGCTTGGACGTGCCTGTCGCGAAGGACACCCTTGGTTTGGCGTAGCAAGCACACTCTCGGCATTCCTTGTGGTTTCGGCAGATAGAGACTGACTGACCCAAAGAGAGGTTCACACGAGAGCTGATACTTAGTCTCACCAAAGCTTACGTCGACCAAATTCGAGACGGTTGCTGCGATACTCGCCTGCTCGAGCAATCGGATGTGCTTTCAGTTTGCATGTTTGGTATCCTTGTTCGCCGAGACGGTTTGACTGCATCAAGGACCAGCGGTCCCTGTACGTTTGGGTGGCATTGGCCAGAGGGCCAGCAAATGGCAAAGGCTGGTTAATTGCACCCAGCCCTCCCAGAGTCGTCTGAAAGCTCATCGGTGTCTTGCGCTGTGTCACGTCACAGATACTTCTGTCGTGGCCCTTGCTTGCAGCACACGTGCGCAGCGTCAGTGGAAGCTCCTGAAGAGGTGAAGCACAGGAGCCCGAGCAAGCCCAACGAGCGAAGAAATACACCTGGAAACCCGGCTGCAAGTTAGAGCCCTAAACCCTGAACCCTAAACCCTTAACTCTCAACACTGAACCCTAAACTCTAAACCCTAAGCCCTAAACCCTAAACCCTGAACCCGAAACCGTAAACCCTAAACCCGCGGTTCTTTATCCCTTCATTTCAGTTGCTCGGTCCTGGTGAGGAATGTGGAGGAAATGGTGCCGGTGGACACAAAAGAAGCCAGAGACATGGACATGCGCTGCGATCTCTGTGGGGCGGATTGCACAGAGGCGTCAGCTACATTGCCATGCAAGAGAGGTTCCAGCACCCCTAGAAGTCTCGGCCAACAAGTAGCAAGGGGGCAGATTAGGGCTGTAAAGTGTCTCTTCTTGAGGCTACATCTAGTCTAATGTTCTCCGCTTATGTATGCCAGGTGCTTTACGAATTCCGCTGCTACCAGCGCATGCGTGCCAAAGACCCTCGCCCGCCTGGGGGTAGGAGGCTTCATCCCTTCGTCAGTGGGCCACTTAGTCTCTTACATCGGTTGATTGGGGCTTTGCATGATTGTACGGCTGTGGGCCTGCTTAGGCTACATCTCGAAGGAATGCGGCAGGGGACTGCTAGGCCGCGCCCTCTTACTCGCACTTCCGTCCTGAGGCTGCACTTGCGTGGCTCGACGCGAAAGGTTATGATTTGCCTCTTCAGCCCTCGCACAGCAAGCCCAGAGCAAGAGCTCAGTCATGCTCCCAATGCATTGCTTTGACTGGACAAAATTGAGCAGCATCAGCAATTGAAGTGTCATATACGAAGCCGACGATGCTATGCTTCCTAGACCCAAGTTGCTTCACTAGGTCACGTGCTGCCAGCCCTCCGAATACTTCAACGCCTCGAAGCCATGGCAGCCATCTCTTGGCCACCGTGGTTTGTATGGCTCGTTTGTGCAGTGCCTGCGGCAGCTGAGCCACAGTCCGGTTGGAACAAGGACAATGATTGCCATGGACATTGGGGAATTTGGAGTTTTGCTGGTGGCTTACAGACTAGTACCGCAATATTTGCACGCCTTGAATCAGAACGTTGTTCCGCTTCTTGATTGGGTCTGGCGTTTATCTTGATGAGCCACGCGTGGGATGAAGTAATTAGCAACCTTGAGTCCCATACATTCGTGCGCAGTTAAGAACCAAAAGGCCCCTAGCAACACAACATCCCACTCAAGTTTTCACTAAGTGGACACCAATGCGTTGCGATTATGTTGTTCTTCTGAATTTGCACGGGTGGAGCCGCAGGCAGTCGAGATGTTCCGCGTTACCCGCGAAACTGGGCAGATCGAGTTCATCGACAACGATCTGTACGAGGGCCCTGCCTCCAAGCTGCCTCTGCACGTCGTTGCCCTGTTTGGCACGACTTCTGGTGGCAAGTCGACCACCTGCAGGTTTCTGTCCTGTTCTATGGGAGTGCCCACCGACTTTCCGAGCTCCACCATCGGTCCGCAGCATGAGCCCACGCGGGGTCTCTGGGGATCCCCGGTTGTAGACAGCGATGGCAAGCGCTTCATCATCTTGGACATTGAGGGCTTCGACAACAGTGAGCAAGACCAGAAGGTTGCAGAGGCCCCCACCTTAAGGTGTTGAAAAAGAGAGGGTGTTGTTTCGTATGGTGGCGGTATGGTGGCGAATTGTCCCATGTGTTTGTCCCGCTAGAGTAGATTGAGCCTTCCCACCTCTCCCCCCCTCCCCAGACCCTCTTCGCGGTATGTGTGCATGCCCCGTGCAGGCAGTGCTGAAGCTTCTTGCTCTTCTTTCCGAAGTCACGTCGGTGTTCGTCCAGGTTCGGCGCACCCCTACGATTCAGGCCTCCGACCTCGAATACATTGCGTCCTTTGTGTCGCAAGTGCGGAGTACCTTGCTTAAGCGGCCTGTGGCTGCAAGAGGAGATGCGGGGCCGACCGATAACTTTCCCGCCCTCGTGATCGCGCACGTCATGCGGCTTCATCTTCGCAAAGGCGAGCAGGAGGCCAAAGCGCTCGAGATCACAAGGCAGGCGCTGGACGCACAGCCCGAAGTCATCAAGACAGTGAGTGAGAATTATGTGGAGCTTGCCCGCAAGGATGGGCAGGGGCTGCATTTCGATTACTTGACTCTGTACGAGCTGCCCATGTTCAAGAGGTTTCAGAAGCTGACAGACGCCACCATGACACCCGGCGACCTGATTGATAAAGTCAAAAGCCTAGTTGACATGAACGAGGAGCCAAGTTCTGCGTTATACAATGCCGGCCAAGCATTCTTGGATGACATCGACTTTCTGCGAGACAAGATCCGAAATGTCAGCCGAGCTCGACTGGATGGTCGGGGCCGTTCAATCACACCGGAGACATTTCGACAGCTCCTGAAGTGGGGTGTTCAGGAGATGAACAAGGTTGGCCCCTTAAGCAACGTGTACCTGTGGGAGAAGATCGCCATCGACGCTTGCAAGAAGAAGCTGCAGGACAAGATCGACGACTTGCAGGCGAGCCTCACGGCAATTGCAGCGAGGAAATCTGGCTTGGTGGAAGCTTTGTCGGCTTCTACAAAGCAGCTGGAAGACTTCTTTGAAAGTCTCAATCTCAGGAAACTGGGTGCCCTTGGGAATTGTTTTGCATGTGTCCCCTTATTGGGTTCAAGAGAGTACCGTACTTTGGAATAGCCCTGAGCCCGAAACCCGAAACCCGACACCCTAAACCCTAAACCCTTAAACCCTTAAACCCTTAAACCCTTAAACCCTTAAACCCTTAAACCCTTAAACCCTAAACCCTTAAACCCTAAACCCTAAACCCTTAAACCCTAAAATCTTTAAACCCTTAACCCTTAAACCCTTGCACCCCTAAACCCTAAACCCTAAACCCTAAACCCTAAACCCTAAACCCTAAACCCTAAACCCTAAACCCTAAACCCTAAACCCTAAACCCTAAACCCTAAACCCTAAACACACATTTTTCAAGGGCTTTTAAGGGCCAAACCTCAGGAGAAGTGGCAAAGCACACGAGGCTTGTGAGAGGATGAAGGAAAGTAGCTGGGCCCTGGCTGCTTGGACTGCACACCCCCTTTCAGGGAGGGTTTAGGGTTTAGGGTTTAGGATTTAGGGTTTGGGGTTTGGGGTTTAGGGTTTAGGGTTTAGGGCTTAGGGTTTAGGGTTTAGGGTTTAGGGTCTTTAAGGCAAAGGGATGCCATGCCCTCGAGAGAGTTTCGCAACTCTGCACGGCATTTCAAGGTGGTGGGCCCTTTCAAAGACCAGGTGCTCCAGGAGGCAGATCAGATGCTGCTCCCTAAACCCCAAACCCCAAACCCTAAACCCTAAACCCTAAACCCTAAACCCTAAACCCTAAACCCTAAACCCTAAACCCTAAACCCGAAACCCTAAACCCTAAACCATGGCCGTCAGTAGTCTGCCGTTTAGTCTACATGCAGCTGGGTCGATATGAAGGTTCTAGATCCCATCATCTTAACGTAGTTGCATGCTTTGCCAAACGAGCCAGGATTTGTTTCGCTTTCTTGCCACCAGGCAGATGAGAGGTTTCGTGAAGCCGAGAAGCAGGCTTGTCGTCATGCTTTGGGGCACAGACGGCTCTACCGCCGCAATGGTGCACAGTTGTATGCTGATTTTGCTGGGTATGCGGTTGGCAGACATCTATGATCCTTCGACCAGGCAAAGGAGGCGAGACAGAAGGCAGAGGAGGCCAGACGGAAGGCAGAGGAGGCGAGTCAGAAGGCATCCGGGTTTTGTTGGTGCTTACTGTTTGGTTTAGGGCCTGGGGGCATTGATCTGGGAACTACTGCATCTGACAGACTCTGGGTTTGGGCTCATGGCACGGTGTGTTTCAGATCAAAAGCACAAAAAGCACGGCAAGTGGGCTTCTGTTTCTTGCAGGTTCGCGAAGCAGAACAACGTACCTTCGAGGAGCAGCAAGCAAGGCAGGCTGTGAAGTGGCAGTTCAGCTCTTATGATGATTCTTAGGATCATCTGTTCTGATTATCATTATCAAGAGCACGGCCCTGTGTCACGAGTTCAGGTGGAAAGATTATCTTCAGCACAACCTCCCTTGGGTCGCCTTGATCCTGCTCTCCGTTGCAATCATCATCCATCGGCTCCTCGGCACTTTTTGCATATCTTGCTCTGGGAGAAGATGACGTCCTATGAAGGATGCTTTGAAACCTACCCGAAACCCTAAACCCTAAACCCTAAACCCTAAACGCCCTAAACCCTAAACCCCAATCCCTACAACCCTAAGCCCTAAACCTCAGCATCTTCGGGACCTGAACACTGCGTAGTTGCACTCATGCTGCAAAGGTTCAGCGCGGCAGTCGCTGACTGCTGCTCATGCTTCAAGGGGACTGGCGCTCCGCGCCAAGCAGCGGAAGTGGAGATGTCGAGGAGAAGCAGTCGGCGACTTGCATGATGCTGCGGGATCAGTGTCAAGAGTTGCTGCTAGCTTAGAGAAGCCATGAGGACTGTCTAGGGTTTCGGGTTCAGGGTTTAGGGTTTAGGTTTTGGGGCAGTTGAGGGTGTTGGGTGTTGGGGGCAACTGGATCGTATCCGTGCAGGATGCGGCAGCTCGAGTTTGACCTGGTGGAAGCGCGGACGCAATTACAGGTGCAGAGAGGGCCACCAGGCCTGGGTTCTAATAACAGGCAGCATATATGCGATGACATACGTTTTAAAGTCTTCTTTACATGCATATGGACGCATTATATTACTTTCTAACATTATCAGTTTTGTTGTTTTTCTCCTAGTTGCGTTCCACTCTGTTCTATGCTTTCTGCTCGAGCATATTTAGCTAAATAAATAAATAAATAAATAAATATATATATATATATATGTATAGAGTTTATGTTTTTAACCCTGGGCCCTAAGCCCTAAGCCCCTAAACCCATAAACCCTAAACCCTACACCCTAAGCATGTATATATATATATATATATACATATACATACACATATATCTTGCGTGGTGGACCTAAGACAAGCCTCGCTGGACCTGGGAAGGCGCCCCAAGCCGCTAACTGCCCAGAGCCACAGGGGGTTCGGGACATCGCTGCCAAGTTTCAGCAGGCGTGGGTTTAGGGTTTAGGGTTTAGGGTTTAGGGTTGAGGGTTGAGGGTTTAGAGTTTAGGGTGTGGGGTTTAAGGATGTGGAAGAAAAGTAAGAGTTCTCAGGGTCATGCCTGCCTTCAAGATCCTTGAGACATGTGCAGCTGCTACGGCTTACTTCTGTTGCTATGATTGCTTTGGTTGAGAGGTGAGGACTTCGAGGTTCACGGGCAGTTAGAACTGGGGTTATAAGCAAGGAGCTCTAAAAGCCTTGTGTAGAGGGCTTGTAACCCTACTACCCCTGAACCTTCAAGGAGAGGGGTTGGAGATAGCAATCCCGGGCCGCTTGCAGGCTTCACATGATCGTGATGGACTCCAACGACGAGACTCGACATGCTTTTCCTGGCTGTCGCAAAGCGCGCCAAGATGTCCTGCGATTCTCTAGGAATTCTCGGCGTCATCGGCCTGTTAATGCGGCGTGAGTTGATGGGCTGGGATGTGATGCAGCGAGCATGCACTCTGTGCCCGTGGTGGCAAGGGATCCAAAAAGGGAGGTGTCAGCTGCCGAAATTAACTGCAGTGCATGAGCTCGCTGTCACAGCCGTCACAGCCGCCTTGGGGGGGTCCACAAACTGCATATGGACAGCGAGGCCTTCAGACAGAGGCCTCGAAGCTGCGAGAGCGCCTCGCTCCCAGCATTGTGGCAAAAGGCGGCAGGCGTAAGAGACTGCCCATGAGCTGCCCTTCACCTGCACAGGCATCTACCGCTTGGTCAGCGAATCCGAGGGCCAGGCTACTTTGGAAACACTGGAGGCTCGAGGGATTGGGAGGCTTCCGGAGGCGTCAGTGGTGAGTTTGGACTGGTTTTTTGGGATGCTTGTGGATGCCAAGCCGTTGGACGTTTCCCAATTACCGCGTGCCGGTGACATGAGGTTAATTCAGTCAGGGCTTCGTGACTTCTGAAAGGAACTTGACGTTTGCGGGTACTGGTACCTGAAGGTTTGTGCATGGCCTCTCTGTGTCTCTCACTTCAAGCGGTGAATGCAGGATCTTTGGCGCTACGCGTCGAAAAGTCAGCGGCTGGTTCAGCCCTCCCTGTGCACTGCCTGTACGCTGAGACCTGTTTTCGAGCGCTTCTGCGAAGCTCTGAATTTTGAGCCGTCTTCAACACTGTGCCAGCTTGGCTCTGAATCAAACAACAAACATACGGAGATGAGGCGCTCTTGGCCGATTGCTTGTGGACGCATCACCCGCCAGCAGGCATGCAATGTAAGGCACATGAGCTCAAAACATCAGACCTCCACTTCTGTACCTTCACAGCCTTCACATGGACTCCCAACCAAGAAAGCGGTCCAGGACACTTCGGTGTCACAATTCAGAGTTCTGAGTGGCCCCAAAAAGGCCATTGTGATACTTCAGACTCGGAGGGATGTTCAGACTCGGAGTGATGCGAGGATCTCGCCATTGGATCATGCCCGTGCGGCTGACTCGACTCTTGCCACGTCGAGGCACGGCGACCGGGAACCGGTTGAAGGAGGTATCAACCCCCCCTCTCCCCCTCTTCCCCCTTGAGAGCGGCAGTAGCGGTAGTAGTGTTAGTGGTAGGAGTGGTGGTAGTGGTAGTAGTGGTGGTGGTAGTAGTGGTAGTGGTAGTAGTGGGGGCACATGCCCAAGATTCGATACTAAATTCACGCGTTAATTTTCAAAGAAGGGCCGGGTTGATGCAATGCCATAGACCACGACCACGAGAATGCAGGAAGCAGTAGGTGTGAGGCTTCAGGGTAGTGAGCAAATCGCCAGACTACGATGACTGAAGGTGAACGGAAGTTGATTGCAGGTTTTGCTTGTGACCGCCCGACCTGTGGTGCTCTTGCATGTTCGCTACCTCTGCACTGGAGGCAGCCAGATTCTGTACTCTCTCCCGTGTGGACCGCTGAAGATCTGGCGGATGCGGACTTTGACTGGACCATAATTGACGGCAAAGTGCTTGCCCTTCGGCCGGACTCGGATGGACTCGGCACCGAGATTGGAAAGGTGAAGAATGTGAAGTTTGTGCTTGTGCAGATCTGTGCAGTGTCACCGAATTGAGGCCATTGACGGGTTCATCCCGGAGCATCCTGGTGGACGTCTGATTTGGTCGGCAGTGGGTCAGGAAGCTACTGACCTCTTCCGTGCCCACCACGCCTCCAAGACGGCGGAAGCCGCGCTCGAGAAGTGCTTCGTTGGCCAGTTCGCGTTGCAGAAGCCACGCAAGCGGCTCAAGGCGCCTTGTTGCAAAGCCAGCGTTGATGCGCTGTTGACACGCTGTTGACATGCAGTTGACGCTTGGTAAAAATTCTGGCATGCTGCACGCTGACTGTTGCATGACTGAGGAGGGCCTTGGGATTCGAGCAGAGCTCAACAGGAGAGTGTCTCACCTCCTGAAGAAGCCGACGACTCCAATCGCAGAGGCTGGGAGTGACCCGGAGCATTCTGAAGTGTTTTGACGAGCCGCGCCCCGTTTGTTGGTTCACAGGCCGTTGCAGTTTCCATGCTGCTGCTTTTCTGCATCTGGACGTTCTTCATCTATGTGAAGGGTGCCCTGGCAAGGAGTAAGCTGTGCCTCAGCTGCCCCATCCACGGTCTGTGTGATAATCGGTCCTCAGAGCTTAGGCTTCTTTTGGTTGAACGTGTTCAGCAGCTGGTTCTGGTGGAGGCACTTGGACGCTGCACTGCACAGTGCCGCAGCCTCATCGCTGAGTGCGCAGCTTGTGCACCGAAACCCTAGACCCTAAACCCAAAACCCTCAACCCTAAACCTACACGACTCACACCACGTGACAGCCCAGGTTGTCCATGGGGATTTCAGGTATTCTTTGTCGTTGCATCACCATCTGCTGCGCACATATTCGGTGCTCTGCCACCACATGCTGGACCACTACCAAGGACTGAGCCATGAAATGCTTTAGGGTTTGGGGTTTAGGGTTTAGGGTTTAGGGTTTAGGGCATTGCGTTGAGTCTGCCACCCGGGAGGAAGCCTACCTGGTGTTTCACAGCACATGGAACACCATTTGCACACGAACGACTTCCGACAAGACCCCGACTGGACGGTCTTTGCCGTCGGCCGCAACTGGGTTCGGCGACATGCGTGCAACCCTTGGCAGCCGTACAACGCTTGGCAGGTCATGCTTTACGCTTTGTCTTGCTGGAGGCTTCTCATGATCGCAAGATGTCTCCGCATACAGAAACTCATTGGAGTGACGGCAGGCTTTCTACTGGCTTCCGGTCCGTTCCGTCTTGGAGCCAGCCTCCGAAGCTCGAACGCATTGGGCCAGGCACTAGAGTCACTAGATACAGGTCGTTGTTGAGTTGAGCATCCTTTGGTGCTATGAATGGTGCCCTGGTGCCAGCCTCCAAGGAAATCTTCACCATGCTGTCTACCTGCATGAATGGCGCTTCGCAGGCCTTGAGGGCCACGCTCACCATGGAACTGCTGGCTGCACTGCTGCACAGTGCACGGTAGCAGGTTTTTGAGCCTCCAGCCAGCGCGGAGAAGTTCTTCGACCGCTGCAAGGATGTGGGATCCTGGTGGGCCGAGGCAGGGGCAGAGGTACAGGGTTTAGGGTTTAGGGTTTAGGGTTTAGGGTGTGGAAGAAAGGCGTTGGGTTGAAGAGCGAAAGGCGTTGAGTTGAAGAGCGAAAGGCTCTCATCAGCCCGGGTTACCAGGGCCTGGCCTTCTTCTTCCAGTGGTCTGGCAAGCATTTAGCGTCGTTTCACTCCTTCTTTCTGTATTTCATTGTTTCTGTCTTTCTGTCTTTCTTGCTTTCCTTCTTTCTTTGTTGTCTTTCTTTGCTTTCTCTTTAATCCTGCGTGAGCAGGTGTTGGACACAAAGCCCTGCGGCTGCTTTTGCGTGGCTGTTCAGGGTGTTAGTCACCCTCCTTCCCGTTCATGAAAAAAACCTTGCCAACCACAACCACGCGGGACTTGCCCCAGCAATTGAATTACACACCGGTCCCATCAGAACCGTAAGGCCAGGACCTACTGCAACTGGAAGGGTGGCACGACTTGTGGAACTTGTGTGCATATCGTACTTCAAAGGGGCAGTTCGAGGGTCCTCTTCAGGGTGTCGGATAGGGGTGGGTGGGTAAGTCAGGGTTTTGGGTTGCGCACATTCTTGCACGGTGACCTGGGTGCAGTTTTGAGCAAGATGCCCCGCGCCCCACACCCTATACCCCAAACCATGACTCCTAAACGTTCTGTCATGGCTCCTGTCTTTGAACAGAACACCTCAAACCCCATCCTCCGTCCTGTGTTAGAAGCTGTGCTGGCGGGCAGGGTCCCTTTGAGCAAGGCACTTCAAGTCCCCGGCAAAGCACCTTACATCCCACATTCTAAGCCCAGAGTCATGCAAAGGAAGCGGCTGTATTGCTAACAGGATTTTGATCGCCCTGTGTGAACTGTGAACCGCAATAGCCTGACGCAAGAACGACCCTTCGAACTGAGCGAGGTTCTCCAACAATGAATGCCTCCTCTCGCCTTTGCCCCGTTGTTAACGTATTCAGAGTACTATTTAGGGTTTAGGGTTTAGGTTTAGGGTTTAGGGTTTAGGTTTAGCTGGGTCTTGAAGCCAACCAGCTTGAGGCCTTTCGGACAGGCGTTAGCAGCCCTGCTGCTCAGCAGAGCGGTGGCCAAGCTGGTACTCCTTCCATTCGCAGAGGCGCCCTAACTTTCCGAGCTTGGAAGCACCATGCAGTACGCCGGGCTTTTGTGCCTCCATGTAGACAGCTTCCAGGTTCAACACTTCCTCATGCCAGCATCCGAGAACGCAACGTGAACATTATAGGACCATTAGAAGGACGCTTCTTGCGGCTGTTGATGCCCCAAGGCCAGACGCGCCGAGTGGGGACGAGGCGCTTGAAGCCCCTTTTGCAGCTCTCTGCACAGTGGGCATGCAAAAACCTACTTGTTGTGACATGAGTGGCAGTTTCAGCTAACGTCAAAATCAGAAGGAGTTCGTGCTCCGGCAGCTCTCAACGACGGCAAATCTTCGCTTCACCAGCGCATGCTGCCGCTTTCTCGACTTTCTAATGTGCCGGTCTCAGAGTTGCAGCAAGAAGAATCTCTCGCAGTCGTTGGGAGAAATGTGAATGTGGCCTGGCCTTTGCATGATTTCTACGAGGTTTCATGGCGACAGCCTGCAGGCCCTCACAATTCCACCATCTTGCGCAACAGACATTCAGAGACATCCAGAGAAATTTCAGAGACATGCAGAGACTGGAGGTGGAGCATCACCTGTGGCCGGCCATGAGCTTCGTCCAGCTGCAGGAAGCGTCGCGCATCGTGAAGACCACCTGCGCAGAGCTTCGAAGCTGCGTTCGGCCAACACATCTGTTTCATTCTGCCTACGGTGAAGATGAAGTGTCTTCCTTCCTAGGCTTGGGTTGCCATACAAGGAGATTGGCTACTTCGAAGCCTTTCACAAGGCGCGGTGTGCCTCTTTCGCTGGTGCTGGCGGGTTTGTGGTTTGCGACTCGTGTCCACAGCGCTTCATGAGCTGTGAGGTTTGGCGGCAGGTCCGGGACCATGCAGCCCAGCCTGAATGAAGCTGCTGGTTCACCTTCGGGCAGACAAAGTTTCTGCCGTTGTCGCGGCGCGATGCCGTGCGTTCCGTTAAAGAACCGCCTGCCGTCACAATATCTCGCTGCTCCCATGTATCGTCTGCCATCCGTCAGTGTAGGGTTCCGCAGGTCCTGACGGATGAGCTGCGGTACCTCGCCAGACCCGAGGTTGGAGCTTCGAAAGCTTCGAACATCGAGTCCGGTGCAATGCCATGCAGAAAATTTGGGGGTTGTAACATTAAGAAGTGAAATTGAGACGAGCATCGTCAGAGCCTTTGATCCAGTGCCCCTTCGCTCGAAGGCGGGGTTGCCGCGCCGCGCGGCGGAGCTGAAGAAGGCGGAGACAATCCACGGCGAACTCCACAAGGAACGTGAGGACGTGTTTCGGGCGTTGGCACGGGCCGTGGCCCCTGGCCTCAACGCACGAGACCTGGCTGCGGTGACGGTCCATCACGCGGAGGAGCAGGCCTGAGATCCGCAGCTGTTGGTTGTCCGCAAGTTCCCCTTGAATTACACTGGTCAGGATGAAAATTTGGACAAAGCAGAAGGAGGAGGCTGGGACTTGCTGGGACAGCAGGGATTTTCAGGTTGGTTTCTGCCGTCAGCTGTATCGACATTCCCATAGGATGATTTGCGTTCTCAGACCCCTTTGCAGCGCGGACTCTCCAAAGTGGTGCTGCGGGGGTGGCGGTTCAATTTCGCACCAGGCTAGGTTAGGACACCCAGAAAGGGTACAGCCACGGTTTTGGGTTGAGGGTATTGTGGCAGGGCCAAGATGTTTCAAGCTGTTCCAATCACATGAGCCGCCCGGATCTTGGCATCAGCTTGCTTTGCCCATCCATGCTTGGGCCAAGTGCTTTGAGGACCAGACTCCCGGGTAGGAAGGCCCTTATAACCCTCGGACAAAAGATTCCTGGATATGATCCTCTTAAACCCCAATAAGATTAAACGGATAATAGAAACATGTCCCAAGGGCCTACCGAGCTAGCTTTAATTTCCTGCAGCGGCGTTGTTTTCTTTTTTTGTTTGTTTTTTGTTTGTTTTTTTGTGTGTTAATGGCTGACCGGTTGTGGTTTCTTCTGGCGAGGCAAAAGTCTGGAAGCGTTGCAGAAGACTGGCGGATACCTGGGCCAGGCAAGCGGCATGGCAGCTGCAGGGGAGTTTACGCAAATAAGGGACCCCTACAATCGACCCCCAAATAGTAGGATTCCCTTATCATAAGGACCCCAATAAGGTACCCCCTAATGTCGGAATCCCCACATCTTGGCATCATCAAGTGCCATGCGCCATGCAGCATCGAGCTGGGAAGGTAACAATGGAAACCCCCTGTGAGTGATGATGGCATATTGGTTCTCTAAAGTACGTGCCTTTTTTGGGGTCCCCGATGTGAAGTACTTGCAGCACCCTTAAAAAGAGGACCCCTGCCCCAAAGGGACCCCAATTTAGAGAAGTACCCATGTGACTGACGCTTTCACAGAGGTTGCTACGGCTCTTCGTGAACGACGCCCGCTGCCGGCTGTGCCAGTGCGGCCTCTGTTGTGGCATGTGAGCTTCACACACACGCAGTGCATGTGTCTCTGCCAAGTCCTACCGATGTCAGGTACAATGGGATCGCGCAGATGCCGTGAACTGCTTGCGGGCGCTCGTTGAAGTGCATGCCTAAGTTTCTGTACAAAAATGGGGAGACCGGACACACCCCCTCCTGGACCCGGCTGTTTGAAGGCATGGGCACCTCTCCGAGTCGAGCTGCATGACGCTCTGCACGGGGTCGAGGCCGATTCGAGTCACAGATTCTGTTGCCAGTCGGTGTGTGCTTGACCGCCTTAGGTGTTCCAACATCAGAAAGCATCCCGCAGCAAAAAGAAGCAAAAGAAGAAGCACAAGAAGGAGGCCAGCCGCGAGCTCTCCGAGATGGCCATTGAGCCTTCGGCTCCTTGCCATTCTCCAGGCTGCCGATCTAGAGATCGAGCTGAAGCTGGTCTTTCTGCCCGGCTGTGCTGCATGGTCCTTAGCCTATCTTAGAGCCCCTTTCTCAATTCGCTGCGTTTTAGTGCCGCTTAAAACAGCCTCCCAGGAGCTTCACGGCGTGACGGCCCAAAAGTGCAGCAAGGAGCAAGTGCAGGCTTGGAGCCCCCAGCATGCTATCACCACACAGCCCTGACACCCAGCCAGATCTCATATAATAACAGTCTGACTCTTCAGAATCATCATACAAGTCGTAACTACAGCCACTGGAATAAACACAAGCAGGAGGAAGATATGTTCATGCATTCGCGACGGAGTAGTCTCGAGGTGCTGAAGTCGCGGCGCGAGGAGCTGCTGCAGCAACTTCGGGAGGCTGCTGAGCCCGCATATTTTTTGGGGTTTAGGGTTTAGGGTTTGGGGTTTAGGGTTTAGGGTTTGGGGTTTAGGGTTTAGGGTTTAGGGCTTGTTTGGGGAGTTTGCGAGAACAAGGAACCCCTAACATAGGCCCCAAAAATAGTGGGATCCCCTTGCCTCATAAGAAGGACCCTTTCGATACCCCGAAGATCGCCAACCCCCATGTGTTGACTCGCTTGTCACCCAAAGAAAACAGTAAAATGACCGGCAAATCAGAACAGGACTGCCCAGTCACTGGACTCGGAAGTAGTAGTTGGTGCAAGGCTAAGGGCTCAAGCATTGGTCCACTCGTGGGCACCTGGCACAGCCTGGCACCAGAGCTCATGCTGGATGCCACGTTGGACTGCACTGGGTGTTCCACGACATGGTCTCCAGGACATGGCGCCATCTCTTGTCCTTCTTGCAAATTCGGACACGTCCGGTTTCAAAAGAAGTACAGCTCACCTGGATCCATCGATGACGCGGTCCTGGACTGCTCCCACTGTCAGCACTCATTTGGTGAGGGCTATGGGGGCATCTTGAGCCCTTGTTGCGGCAAGAAGCCTGGTGACCCTGGCTTTGTCAAGTTTACCAGAATCCGCAAGAATCCCGTGTTCTGTGGCGCTACGCTATCATGCACATCTTGTCCTAAGACTTGGCAGGAAGGTTTTGGTGCCATCAAGTGCCCACGTTGTTGTGATGGTTTTGTGGAGTTCAAAGTCCTCTCACAGGATGCCACCCTACAGTGCACGCAGTGCTCTGCGACTTGGAGTGAGGGGCATGGAGGCATTCGATGCCCGTGCTGCGAGGCCGGCTTTGTCAAGTTTGCCAGGCATTGGAAGGATGGCCCTTTGCAGGATGCAGCTTTAACCTGCACGAGTTGCAAGAACAGCTGGGGTGAGGGATGTGGGGCTATCAAGTGCCCGCGATGCAGCCAGGGCTTTGTTCGATTTACCAAGATCAGTAGTGCTCGTCATTTGGTGGATGCGTTTTTGACATGCACAGATTGTGAGCAACAGTGGTCCGAGGGATATGGTGCGATTCCATGCCCGCACTGCCTGGATGGTTTTGTTCGGTTTACGAAGCATGGCAACACCAGTTCCAACCAGCCCGAGGGTACGGCAACGCATTTCAACCCTGCCGCCCGCGGCAGGGGGGCGGATGGTTGTCGCTCCGCGCGTCTGCATCCCGAAAAGCTGCACTTCACGCAAGACAGCATCAAGCGCTCTTTCCGGTGCGGGCGATCACTGCAGAGCACCATTCGAGAATTGCAAAGAAACCCTCGCGCAGCCTTCGAGAGCATTCCCATTATTCAGGTTTTTGAACTCGACGGGAAGATGTGGACGGCGGATAATCGGCGGCTTTATTGTTTCCGACAAGCCAGGCTGTCTGAAATCCCAGTACGACACATCCATGCTGCAGGCGTCGATCCCCGCAAATTCACAACAGGCAATGGCGGGCTCAACATCCGAGTGCGGTGATGTTACCGCGATACCCTTGTGGGTCGGGACAACGTGCCATGCTCTTCCACTTTGCGTGTTCAAAGCAGGGCTGCAAATGGGGTGCTCTGAGTCCTTCAGTGGTGGTAGTCATAGCCGTCGTAGTAGTGGTAATGTAGTCATAGATGTAGGAGCAGCAGAAGGACGGCAGGAGCAGTATTAGTCAAGTAAAGGAGGCAACGGTAGTAGTGGTGGCGGTGACATTGGAGGTAGTACTCCCAACGGCCCTAGTCGGCCCTGGTCTGCTTGGATCGTTGTAGTCACTGGGGGGAAGAAGATGTAACAGTCGCTTCTGCCTGCATGTACTTGGCAAGAAGCGACCACGGATGTAATCTCATCATTACATAGGGGTACTTGGGCTAAGCGTTCCTTCGAGATTCACAGAATTTCGCAACGAATTCGCTGCTTTTGGTAACTGTAAAATCCATGCGTTCATTGCGGGAAGGGATGCCACGGTCGACCTCGTCAACTTCCTCAATGCTCTGCATTCATTGGGATTTCAGGTTCCTCCGGCCAGAACGGTCAACTTTTCCACGTCAAGCAAATTCGCAGTTTACAGCAGATTCAACCACAGCAGAAACGACCATAAGTTAAGACGTGCCACTCTGGCACTATAGATCGTTGATGCTTTCCTTGCATGCCCAAAGCGTTTCGATAATGGACACGGGGTCTCCTCGTCATGTTTCATTTTTTCGGCATGTCCATTCCCAATCGTTCGTTTCGCAGCCAGACACTGCGGGAAACAATTGGGGAACATGCTGTGGGAGTGCGCTTGGAACTCATGTGCGCCATTGCGTGTGCATAGTGCCCTTACTTGGGGTCTCGGCTGGAAACGGCGACCGCTGCTTCCGCGCTACTCACGCGAACCTTACGCAAAGCTTACGCCAAACGAACCCTGCGCTCAACGCTCGGTGCACGATGTTCGGGTGTTCGGGTGTGGCGTGAGTTGCCCTTAGTGTGGCTGTTGAGGATGTTATGGATGCAGTTTTTCGCCGCGTTTAGGCGGTGTTATACACTGTTTTCGTGCATGTCGAACTGTCAAGAGTAGGATGTCCTGGATGCGGTGTTTCGCACGGTGCTTGACATGGTTTTCGTGCATGTCAAAATTATGCAAAAGTATGATGTCATGCATGCATCGTTTCGCTGCGCTCACACGGTGTTTGACATGTTGTTCTCTCATGTGGAAGTTTGCAAAAACCACGTGAAGCCTGTGGGTGGGACTTGTGTTCCTTCGGGGAAAGCCTTCTTCCAGTTCATGGTGGATAACATTTGTGACATTTCACGCTGCGTTTACTTGGGGGAAATTGCTTTTGGGTGGGACTTTCTGGGGTCGTGGGTGGAGTGTATTCCTTGGGGGGAAGGCAGCTGGAGGCAAAGTGATGGGACTCGGGCTGCTCATTGCAGTAGCAGTGGCAGTAGCAGTAGCAGTAGCAGCAGCGTGAGCACTAGCATGAGCACTAGCATGAGGAGCACTAGCAGCAGCAGTCGTGGTGGTGGTGGTGGTGGTGATGGTAGCGGTAGTGGTAGCGGTACTGTAGCGGTGGTCGGTTGAGATTGTGGTAGCTTCAGTAGTTGTAATGATTCAAGTAAGTTGCAAGTGTTGTGGTAAGAGGAATCGCTTTATGAAAGCTAGTGCTGTCATCCGTCCTAATCGCAGTGCGTGTTGGTTGCTTTAGCAGATTTAGCGCAGCTCTGGGCATCAGGACTATGCTCTGCTCGAAACTTTTCATGGCGGACAAGGCCGTTATTCGCGCGCAGAGGACCTTCTGCTTCAAGACATTTCAGGCTCAAAAAGCTTTGTGTTCGGCAACCATCAGTATGTGGTTTACTGTGTCTGAGCCTTCCCGTGCTCTTTGGCCGATGTTTGGCTCAAGCAGATAGAGCTTTGCGGTGCAGGGCAGCTGGTCTGGTGGGGTATGCGCTGCAAACTTGGTTGCGCCTTGTCACCGAGACTTGTGTACTTTGAGAGTTGTGCCAGTTTGCGATGAATATCCCGATAGTTATGCAACCCTAAACATTAAACCCTAAACCCCAAACCCTAAACCCTAAACCCTCATCTGCAAGGTGAGGCCCTGTTGGCGGCGATATGGGCACTTTCCCTGCATTTGTGTCAACTTGCTTCGGTGTGTGTGTGTGTGTGTGTGAGAGAATAGGAGGTGTCAAGTCGTGAGACCAACGTATCCGACAGAAGAATCGTGCTGGCCGACGCTTCTCTGTGTATACTGAGGGTGCTGGACACGTAGAAACGCTGGCAGCCGAAACATGCCTGGCATAACTTGCTACAGCTCGGCCATGGAGGTACCACGTGCTTTTGAGTCTTGACACTGGTGGCAATTTCTGCACTCCGCAGCGTTTTTCACGCACCTGGGATGTGGGATTTGCAACTCTATCCGAAGGGCGTGGTCCTCCGTGCCAGCATGTTGAGCAGGGTTCTTGCATCGGTGATGCCCCGCAAGTCCGAGCGCTGAATGTTCAGCGCACACAGGAAGCTTACTTGCATAGATATGAACAATGAACGCTTGCGCGCGCCGCCTCGGCAGCGGGGCTGGCCCAATGCGGGGTATATCCAAGGGGTCTCAAGGCAAGGTTTCCAGGGATCCCACGCAGAAGAGGGCCAAAGGGGTTTGAGCAGGTCCCACTTCGCGGCTTCGTGGTTTTGGAAGGCGCCCCGAGCCTGGAACCCTGCAGCATCGGATTGCGGGTCCTCCAAAGGGGCGGTACAGAAGGTTTCTCGTTGGGGGGAAGGGTTGGGAAGGAGACCAGATCCGCTTGTTCGCGGCCAAAGCGAATATGCCAGCCAGCCTCACTCATGCAGTGAGTTAAGAGTATCGTGCACGCATGCACCAACTCTGACCTTTCGTGATGCGGGCATGCTGTTACCGGTCGTTCTATCGAGAAGTGCAGATTTCGTGCCAAAAGGCGGGAAATCGGTAGCTTCAACTGAGCTGGTCAGTCTTCATTTCCTCAGCCAGCCACTGAACCTTGACTGGCCCTATAACCCAGCCGAGGCAGGTTCCGCCGCTGCAAGCTCCGAATACTTAGCCGCCCTGTGTCCATCGGAGACATGCAATGAGATGAGCCATCCCCTCCTTGACTTCGATCAGGAGCTGCCTGACTGCTGCATGCCGCCTTGAGACAACTAGGGGCTTGCGCAAACAAGGGACCTTGAACATGGACCCCCAAGTAGTAGGATTCCTTTACAATGAGGACCCCAGGAAGGTACCCCTAATTTCGGAAACCCCCAATGTAACAGCTGCAGCTGCCACAGGATACTCGCGAGTGCGTTTGCAGAGCGCATCCTTGCTGGGATGACAACGGGCAGATCCACACCTGCCGCACAGCTTGCAAGCGCAGTTGGGGTTTAGGCCGGGTTTAGGGTTTAGGGTTTAGGGTTTAGGGTTGCGGGACAGCCCGAGCGACTGTGAATGGCCACTTCCTGTAAGGCAGAGGCCAGAGTGGATTCCCTTATCTAGCCTTCTACTATACTGCGGAGAAGGAGCTGCAGTGCGAGTGCAGCAGCTTTCCGCATTATTCCTCCTTATACGTTGCCCGGGACCTCTGTGCTGGACACAGATGCCTGGACCCTGCTCATCCAGTTCTGGATTACGACGATACCAAAGACGAGTGCGTATGCCGCTCTCATCCATGTTGGAACGACAAAGGGAGGTCGCACAAGTGTGACAAGCCCCAGTTTCCCATTCTGAAATTCCGTCAGGAAGAGGCGTGTGGGGGGGGTTGGCTTCTTGTTGAAGATCATGGAATAGCCTCACCTTGCCTTTCCACTTCGGTATCTGAAGTTCTCCCCTTGTGCTCTTCGGATCCTCTTGTGGCTGGCTTGTGCACGCCATGGGAGGTGAATGGACGCCTCAAGAATGTCTGCGAGTGTTCCATATCCATGGAGAAGGACCAGTCGATCCCCATAATGCCGTTTGACAAACCCGGAGCCGACCCGAACGAGGAGGAGTTCGAAGAGGACAACGAGGAGCGGAGCCTTTTTAATGTCGTGCCAGCTCGGGATGACATCCATGTTTCTTCGAAGTGCCGGGTGTAGTGCCTCGATCTTGGCCAGGACCTATAGAGCGATTTCCTGGTCACCTTCAGGTCCTGTAGATGAGAGATGGGGGCGTGCAGATGAATCCCGATGGCGAAGGCTTCTGGCCGTGTATATAGTTGCCGGTGAATTCCCGTATATGGCATGACTCAGCGCTGAACAAGCGGCGAGAAAGACTTGCATGTGTGAAGCGTTCCAGCTCCGCAACGTGCAAAAAACGAAAGAGGCATGGGCACCCCACTTTCACCATGTAGTCTTGAGCATGATATTGGGCTGGACTGCTGCTCGGTTTTTTTGTTCCCAAAGCCGGGGAGCTGGTAGCACTCAGTGCTCTGCAGGACAGGGCCATACAGATCCCAGACGAAGGTCAGATCAAGTTTGAGCGCAGGCTCTCAGTCAGTTCCTGTATGCCGTAGGCCAGGTAAAGTGGCAGGATCAACTTGTTGTGGAGCTTGTTGTGGACACCAAGCCCTACACCCTCCCCAAACCCCAAACCCCAAACCCCAAACCCCAAACCCCAAACCCCAAACCCTAAACCCTAAACCCTAAACCCTAAACCCGAAACCCTAAACCCTAAACCCTACCCCCGAGCCCTAAACCCTCTGCTCCCCTCTGTGGTGGAACACCTCGGCCCTTACTGAGGCATGTTGCGGAAGCCCTGGGCCGAATTGCCACGGACTCGGAGTGTGCTCTGCAACCTGGGTGGGCTCTCTTGTGGGTTTAGGGTTTAGGGTTTAGGGTTTAGGGTTTAGGGTTTAGGGTTTAGGGTTTCGGGTCCAGAATGGTACACCGAGACTACACTGAGACTGCCCGGAGTATACGTCTTTCTTCAAGTGCCGGGTCTCTGCCGTGTTGCAGTCGTTGCTTCACCAATCTCTGTTTGACCAATCGACGATCCATTGCTCTGCTGAGACGTGGCCGAACTGCTTCACACGCAACAATGCGGAAGCCCTAGACGCCCTACACCATACCAGCTGAGAAGTCTGACAAAAGCGATGCATCACTGACCGTGCGCTCTGCACCAGCTTGTCTTGAAATGGCAGGTCAAGCCCGATGGAGCTCCTTTCATTGAGGCATCGCATGGCCACCCATTGTCTGGCGCAGTTTCCACCGGTCCCACACCCTTTGAAGCTTTGAAGCGCGCGCTTGACAAGGCCTTTCCACTGGGCGTCGTCCTCAACTACTGCCTCGGCTTGGTTTGCTCGCGTGCAACCCGCCTCTGGTGCGCGCCTCGCTGTTGTGCCTTCCTGGTCTCGTGAAGCCGTTCTGTGGGCTAAGAAAACACTGTCAAGATCGATATGGGGGTTTAGGATACTAGGGGTACGCTTTTGGGATCCTACTATCCTAAACTCCCATATAGGGACAGATGTATTGGAATCGTTAGTCTTGCAGGTATATCATCTCGGGCCCACAGCTAGTATAATCGCTAGAGCACCGGCATGTCGTAGTTGGGGCTTGCAAAGTATGGATAGGGATGGAGAAGGTTTAAGATTCTGCTGGAAGAGCCCGGTCCTCCAACGACTTCTTTGTCGGTGCAGCTGCGTCAGGCCAAACTTGACCAAGCTGCTTGCCAAGTTCATCCAGCAAGAGCAGCCGGACTTTCGATACACGACCGTGTCTCTTGGTTCAAGGTGCACCGTGTGTGCTTCATGAGGATCTTCAGCTGTGACTCACTTGGCTCAACACAACTCAGGCAGCTGAACAAGAACTACGCAACGAAGATGCATGTTGCAGAGTCCCTAATTCTCAAGGTGTCACGAAGCAGAGAACAGTATCAGACTGTTGCGGTAAGAGTGGTTTGTAAGCACTACGGTTGAGCCGCAAATCTGCTCGTCGGACACAGGATGGCAACAATCACGGTCCCAGCTACATCATAGGGCCGGGACCACAGCGCGCATCAAGCATCACAGCCTTCAGCCGTCGTGTCAGTGCTGTAGCGATCCTCCACGATCGTGGTTGTCGCCTGAGGTTAGGTGACTACACGGGTGGCGAAGTGTGGATTTATGACGAGAATGGAACCGTTGAGATGGAGATACCGTGCACTCTACGTGGATGGAGCCACCTGAGGCAAGATCACCTTAGTGACTTTAGTGCTGCCTTTCCACATCTTTCAGCCCAGTCGACTCCAGTGAATGACTGTGAAGCATGCATACTATATATATATATATGTGTGTAGACATATTAGCATTACTACTACTACTACTACTACTACTACTACTACTACTACTACTACTACTACTACTACTACTACTACTACTACTACTACTACTGTTACCATTATTGCTGTTTCTATCATTAAGATAAATAAATAAATAAATGTGTATATATATATATTTATGTGTATATACATATATATGTGTGTGTATATATATATATGTATATATATATATATATATTTATTTATGGCATTCGAAGGCCGGGGCAGAAAGTTCCTGGACGGCTGGAAGACTGTCGCAACAAGTGGTTGAAGTTTGATGGCAACACGCCGCACATGACTATGCCATACACAGGCGGCCATGATTCTGTGAGAATCTTTCGTGCAAGTTCAATCGGGGGATGGGAGGGTCGCGAGAGATGCAGGCTTCCGGATCAGCATTGTATTCTTCACGCGGAAAGGCCGCCGTTGCTCTGTTTGATGCGCTACAGCTGCTACTTGAAGTGACTGTACGTGTACGGTGGTCGCCAAGGAAATTTCGGCTTAAACGGAAGTGTCGTGCCAAATCGTACGGCAGCGTACAGCCACAAAATCTTTGTGAAGAACTAGGTATCATTAGCTGCTTGGGAGCATCGGGATAGATCCCAAGAAGAACCGCGGGATTTGGGTTCTGTGCTTTGTTGCTTTGTTGTTCGGAACCACTTAAACTCACTATAGGAGGACAAGGTTCCGTCGTTTTAGGCCAAAATGCCCTTAGCACCACGAATTCGAGCAAGCCCCCCCGCCCCACTTAGATTACTGTTGGTTAGCAGGCAATGGAATGAGGCCCTATATACAGTATACACACCCTTTAAGGATGATATAGGGTACCTCATTCCCCCCCATTCCCAACCAACAGCAAGTGAGATGGCAGAATTGGAGAACCAGACCCGGGAAGCGCCAGAGAGCCGGTTGCTCCACCTTGACCGTGCAACCCTAAATCCTAAACCCTAAACCCTAAACCCTAAACCCTGAACCCTGATTCGCGCGCCATGTTGAGATTGGAGTTGGGCTGGGACGTCATGGATTTAAGAATGGGGTCTTAAGAGACTCCGGATAGGACAACAGTGTCTGCAAACAAGAGATAGAGCGCCTGCTGGTTGCAAGCGGTTCTTGAAAGTCATCTGCACGGCACAGTACACGCGGTACATGCCTCTGAGTATTCCAACCCAAAAAACAACCCTAAACCCTAAACCCTAAACCCTCAACCCTAAACCCTAAACCCTAAACCCCAAACCCTAAACCCTAAACCATTCCTGGGGTGAGAAGAGTGGGCGCAGGTTGGCTGACCATGCTTACCGAGACAAAGGAAACACTCGAGACCTCAGGCTTCATGCTGCCGGGCGAGGACACCTTTTTTGTGGGAGCCCTGGGTTTAGGGGTTTAGGGGTTTAGGGGTTTAGGGTTTAGAGTTTAGGGTTTAGGGTTTAGGGCCCAGCAAGACAGTGACTGCGAGGAGTACCTAAGCCTCTGCACGACGAAAGAGGACCTTCAGGAGAAGGTGGGGGGGGGCATCCTCCGGGCAGTGTCGTGGTCAGAGCAGCTGCTTTGAACAGCAACATGTGCGGGTCTCCGAAAGTAGGGAACCCCCAAGACAGACCTCCAAATACTAGGATTCCCTTGTAGTAAGCACCCCAACTACGTACCTCCCAAGTTCCGAAACCACCTTGTGTAGGCCAAGAAGGTTGCAAAGGCTCCGCGCAAGGTCGAGGTGGTCGAGGAGCACAGAAGCATTCCGACTGGGCATCCTTGCACATGCGGATTGCTGCACGCGCTATAAGTCGACCCTGGGCCGTGAACCACAAGTTAATTACAAGTGTCCAATCGGTGTTTTTTCTGGAGCAGAAGATACCTCGAATCCTCTTAGACCAGACTCCAGCTCCATTGCCCCCCGCGATGCTCGCAATTCAAAGCCAAGAGTGAGGGTTCTTCCAGGATCGGCCTGCTATTGACAGCGACGATGAGGTGGATGAGGCAGATGTGTATTGCGCTCCAGAACTGCCAAAAAGCGAGAGAGGGAGGGAGGGAGAGAGAACGAGAAAGCGAGAGAGAGAGAGAGAGACAGAGAGAGAGCGAGAGAGAGGGAGAGAGAGAGAGAGAAGAAGAACAAAAAGAACGAGAGCAGGAGAGAGCAAGAGAGAGACTGAGACTGCTAAAACAACCGCTACAAAATTAGGAGGAGGAGGCGGATGAAGTCCTCCGAGCGGAGCAAGATGCCGCTGCATGGCCCTGGCCCCAGACACGCCCCAAAGGGCCCCGGAGGCTCCCCAGATGTCCACTCTGCGCCATATGGGGGGCTTACGAAAATAGGGTGACCCCTGATATAGAGACCCCCAAATAGTAGGATCCCCTCATAATATGGACCCCAATGAGGTACCCCTACTTTCCGAAACTCCCCTGTGCGCCCCCCATGAAACAAAAGCCTCATTGCACCTGAGAAGCGGGCGGCGAACTCCCTGTGAACTAGAGGCCCTCCGGGAATTGGGCACAAAGCCTACGGCAGTGCCTCTACAAAGACGACAGTGCGGGGGCTCAGGCATGGCCATGAGCACGCATTTGGTAGTTCTCTGAATTAATTAGGGTCCATTTCGGGGTCCCTCTTTTAAGGGTGCCCTACTATAGAGGGGACCTACAAAAAGGGACCCTAACCCTAAGACATCTTGCCTAAATTTACGCAAGGGAAGCTATTAAGGCTGGCAGTTGGCGGATGAAGCACGCCGACTGAATGTGACCATCTGCGGAAGTGCCACGGCTGCCGGCATTGCGCTGCAGGAGCACACTCCTAGAGCCCCTTTTTAGGAATTACACATATCATTATCATGTTATTGTTATTGCTATTGTTATTGTTATTGTTATTGTTATTGTTATTGACAGGTTCTAAGGGGAGTATAGACTCAACATCACTCAACTTGGAAGGTAGCGCCATGCCTGGTTTATTCAGGAGTTCCTGGGCAATGCCTCGTTCGCAATCGCATCGGCCCATATGACAGGCCGCCGCTGTACCATGCACATGCACCAGTGGTGGTCGGATATCAGATGTGCAGATATGCGCAGATGCTTCTCAACCAACCCTGAGCCCTAAGCCCTAAACCCTAAACCCCAAACCCTAGCAGAGGTGCTGGACTCCGCTTGTTCAAGCGAACTTGCAAGCCCAAGCACGTGTTCTTGGACTTGGATGCTGCGCTGGCAGGGCCCGAAGCCAAGCAGCTGTTTAGGGTTTAGGGTTTAGGGTTTGGGGTTTAGGGTTTAGGGTTTAGGGGATTATTGTTATTGACAGGTTCGTTCTTATTTTTTTAGTATGATCATCACTTTCAGACGTGTGGTTTTGGGTTTCTCAAGGTCCGGCCACTGTGAAGTGCACCACAAGGCCATGCGTCTTAAGTGCAAAGCAGGAGGGCTGCTTTACTGAAGCACGAAGCATCTCTTTTGGGATGTTCCCCCTTTTACCACCGGTCCTTAGTAGGGAATATAATCGGGGGTACTATACTCCCCCCTAAACCCTAAACCCTAAACCCTAAACCCTAAACCCTAAACCCTAAACCCTATTAAGGACTGTTAGTATAGGGGGGGAACGTCCCAAGATCTCTTGTTTGAATTCCCGACTCCTGGAGGCCTGCCATGTGGAGCAGGCAACACAGGCCTTCCGTTTAGGGTTTAGGGTTTAGGGTTCAGGGTTTAGGGTTTAGGGTTTAAGGTTTAGGGTTTAGGGTTTAGGGTATATGCCCCGTCTGTGCCAACCGTACTTTCTGTGGAGAGGATCTCCTCTTCGCAAGCATTCCGTGTGAGCAGCCAGTCCGCAGTGGAATTATGTATTGCTGCTCATGACTCTGTCCGCATTTGGCACATGTAGCCAAAGGCCGTTTCTGAACCTGGATCCATCAAAGCCGATACCTTAACTTTGTCGCCCCTGCATTCGATCGAACGTGCTTATGGAGCAATGCGCAGTGTACGTTTGCCGAGGCCCAGCTGCTTTGATGATCCAAGAGCAGCAACGTTCCTGTCTGTGCGCTCACATTTGGTAAGGGCCTCATGATTGTTCGCCGGTTGCAGGAAGGGTATGTTCTTGCAGCACAAGTAGAGCGGCCGAAAGGTTCGCCAACAACCACGTGCAAGCTTGCTTCATTTAGAAGGCTGGCATTTGTTGCCGGAGGCGCCACGCTGGAAAAAGACTCTCTTCCCTTTCCGTCGTTTTTTCATGGAGTCGTCGCCAGGCTTCCCGGTCACCAGTGACCAGCTTCCTCATGGAGGGCCAGGACCCACGAAGCTCCAGAGGCCCCAACGAGGCATCCTGAGCAGCGTACTCGCGCTATATTTGTGGCCATGGTTGCCAAATCATGTCTCAGTTCAACTTCGGGTTGGAACATTGGACTGCAAGTTCCTTTTTGTGCCACCTTTTTTTTCCCCGCCGCATCTTGAATGAATGTTGCGGCCTGGAGGTGTTGGACTGGGGCCTCCGCCGCCTGGAGAACTACGGTGCCAGCTTGGTGGAGATGTCGCTGACGAAGTTCGGGGTTCCTCTGGCTGGCCACGATGCTTTCATCCTGCCGAAGCCTTAAGAGAGGGGGAGTCTTATCTTGGATGTTCCCCCCTTGTACTACGTAGAACAGTCTTTAAAAAGGCTTAAGATAGTACCCCCCTATTATAGTCCCGAACAAGGACTGTTAGTACAGGGGGAAGCATCCCAAGTCTATCAGCGGTGATCTTCTTAAGTGTTCTCGGGTGCGGTTGCAGAGGTTGATCCATGCCGACTGCGGCGGCCAAGAAGCGGCAGACGCAGCAGCAAAGCTTGTCCAAGCCATCGGGGATCTCAAGCAGTCGGAGCGCAAGATGTCGGCCTCCCAAGCTGCGCGAATTTTTCCTTCCTGTTGGTTGGTAGGGAATGAGGGAAGGAGGGGTACCTATTACCTCATTCCTTCATTCCCTACTCACCAACGCTAAGATATGTGTGAAGCCTCAAGCCCAAGCCTTTACACTTGGGTCCTTCGGGCCCACAAGGCTGCCAAGTTGTACGGTGGGTGCCCTCATGCTGCCGGAGGAGGACCCACGAGTGGTGCACAGCTGAGCATGAAAAAGCCATCACGAGCACGTCGCTGCTCTGCAGTTTTCATATTGAGGTCAATGGCCTAAAGGAGGCAAAGCAAAAGGAAAAAGCGGATCGGGCTGCTGGCGGTCGCAGGCTGATGTCTTCAGTTTATTTTTTGGGCGTGGCCTGCGGATGCAGTGCGAAGGAAGGCGCCGAAGAGCAACACGCGACAGCTAACAATCGAGGCGCGCACCGTGCTCTGGGCAAAGAAAATCGTCCGACCGAGATTCCGCTTGCGCTTCTCCCGAAGGCGCGGGAGCTGGGGCTTCAGCCCGGTGATGCCGGGAGCCTAGAGCTGGGAGCCGCCTTCAGTGTCAGAAGTTAGCATTAGTTTATACATATATATAATATACAATAATATATGTATATATATATGTATATATAGCTCAATTCGTAAAAAAGGAAGTTCGTAGTCCGCACGTTGAACCTGGCAGGCTCGGTACACTGAGTTTCTCAGAGGCAGGGGAGAAGGGCGCCGTGTGATCCTTCTCTCTGCCAGCGTGTGGGCTGGGGAGGCTCGAAGCCACCGCGGGATAGGTGGCTGAAGCAGGCTCTGCCGGACAAGGCCACTTCGAAGGAAACATTCCGCGCAACCCAAGCTACTTGAAGGTTCATGGGTAGATTGAAAGCAGGGTTCTAGGGTACCCTAAACAAGGTTATCACCAGTCCTAACTCGAGTTACCTGACTTGTAACCCAGCTTCTACCTACCCATGAACCTCCACTGCGAAGAGAAGTTCGCGATGCTTCATCTCGGCTCCCGAGTCGAGGGTCCCCCCCCCTCCATTTTTTCCCCACCTTCCGGAATCACCACAAGTCCCTCAACAAGTCCCTCGTGCCCAATTTTGCAAGCACTTGAATTCTTACATTCGCTGCAAACCTATTCCTCCATCCGACGATTGGGAGCAAACCACACGCGCCAAGAGACTACCGGTCTCCAAATGCCTCGAATCGAAACATTCAGTTTAAACATGTCTGAGATGTTCTGAGCGTTGAACTCGAGAAGCCACGGCTTGGCCACGAAGAAGCATGGCACTTTTCAGTGCAACATGCTGCGGCAGGTGGTCATTCTCAACCTCATCTATGAGTTGGGAGCCTACTTCGATGACGTGCCGCGCAAAAAGCACTCTAGCAGTCCAGACCTGATTTCGAGGCGCTGCAGGCAGAGTGGACTGGACCTCGCCAACCTCTGCGCAGATCTGACCCAAGGCGCCGTGCAGATTTGCAGAGGTCTACAAGTGTTCCGGCAGGCATATCGTTGGTCCCGAGGCTTCGATCCTTCGGGACGCAGAGATGATGGACTTCTGCCCAGGCCGACTCATGTCCCCCGGCGGAAGCTCTGAGTGCAACTTTGTGTCTTGCGCACTGTCGCTGAGCTCTCCATGATGTCCGAATTTGCCGAGGTCAGCAAGGCAAGAACCGACCGGTCCCTTCCTTGGAGGTGTAGTTGGAGGGCCCTCCTTTTCTTTTTTTTTTTGGCTCTGCTTGCTTGTCTGGCTGGTGCTCCGGTCTGCTGGTGCCCAGTAATCTTAAACGAAGGTGGCAGGTCCGGTCTACTGCCCCCCCCACTGCTTTTTGAAGTTGTAGGCCCTAGAGTTTACTGCAAATCGAGGGGCATGCCGGCATCATTCTGTTTGAAAATGGTTTGGGTTGCAACCCAGAACGCGAAATGGAAAGGAGATGTGGGCCCCGTAATCCTCGGACCATTCAATCAGTTTGCAACTGGAGAAGGGGCGGGGTGCTTGCATCCACTTCTGTTATAGTCTGTTTGCAAATCATCGAGGCTGAGACCCAAAACACCAAAATGAAAGGGTGAAAGGGTATTCTAGTTGCCAACGAGGCAGCTGCGCCCCCTCACCTCGCTTTCAAAGTTGCAGAGCCTTGATGACTTTTTCAGTGCCGGCGGAAATGCAACGGAAAAGAGGCTTGCCTGTCAAAGAAGAGCTTTCCTCGAAACATTCAGAGTGCCTGCTGAGACATGGAGACAAACATAGTACACTATGGCAAGTAGCAGTGGTTTCCGATCAGCACATATGGAAGGATGCCCGGAGGCTTCCAATGGATACGGGAAATCGAAGACATGCTGGTGGAGATCGTGACGTCAAAAGTTTAGAGAAACCCACTAAATCCAAGCAAGCTGCCCGCCCCGCCCCCCCCATCTACCTCACCCAACGGAGAAAAGAGAAGGATTCCCCCAAACCAAAATCCCCCCAAAGGCCCTCCACCGCAGGAAGATTCGTGCTTGCTCCGAGGCCTGAGTACTATTCCTTTAGCCACCACCGACCGGTGGTCGGTCCGCATCCTACTCCGACACTGCTGGTTTACGATAGTAGGGGTACCTTATTGGGGTCCTTATTATGAGGGGATCCTACAATGTGGGGGACCATACCAAGGGGTCCCTCAAATTAGGGGGGTCCCTTACTATCGTAAACTCCCAAGTGCTCGGCCCCCCTCTTTGCCCTGCGCCGGTTGTCTTCTTCGCGAAGGCCAAGAGATCTTGCTCTGCCATGGCTATCCGGTGTGGAGCGTTGGCCTTGGGTTCAGTCCCCCCCCCCTATTTTGTGGGTTTCTCCACTGGATCATGGTGCAGTTCAACAGCAGAAGGGTAGCAGTGGCTGTCACATCAGCGTCGTAGATCTCTGGAGACCTAGTGGGTTCGACGGGCCCAATGAGGAATGGACTTCCGCGGGCTTTCAGAGACGGAGGCTGGTTTTAGGGTTTACAGGGTATAGGGTATAGGGTATAGGGTATAGGGTATAGGGTTTAGGGTTTAGGGTTTAGGGTTTAGGGTTTAGGGTTTAGGGTTCAGGGTTTAGGGTTTAGGCGATGTTGACCACCTACAATGGACAGGCGAATAAACCCTAAACCATTTGGGACCAGGTGCTGCAGGTCTCAGCGCGCTCACCGGCCGTCCCTGCCATTGGAGCCGTCCTAGCCGCCGCCTTTGCCGCGCGGAGCTCGGGCGACGCACAGCCAAGCCACTAGGGTGACGAAGAGGCAAGAGGGTAGTTGTCTAAATTTAGGGTTCACTTTTTGGGGGTCCTGCTTTTGAGGGCGCCGTGCTGAATACAGGACCCCCTAAGAAGGGACCCTCAGCTTAGAGAACAAGCTGCCCAAGAAGCTTGCAAGAAGTGGTATACAACTCTGAAGGTCATGGACCTGGGGCCTGGTCGAAACATGAAGATTCCCAAGCGTGGGCCTTGGATACCCTTTGCAACGCTCGGAGTTTGAAGCAGATGAAATTGTGCAGCCATGGGCCTTGCTAGCAGAGAGATCCCAAGCTCCTCATCCCTCTGGTGCTTGTCGCTGGGTGTTTATCTGCAGGACGCGTCTTCTAGAACTCGTGAAGGATCTTGCAGATCCTCCTGCGCAGGCGTGGCAACGAGACTAGTTGGCCAGGTTCCGAACCTGTGAAGCCTTCGCTTCTCGAGGCTGCAGCTCTACCAGCCTCCGCTGCAGCGGAGGCGGGCCGGTGAACATGGGAACGCGCAAGCTCTTGGCCATGCCCATGAGGGCATATATGTGTGTTTTAATCAGGGTGACGGCCAATGGCTAGAGTCTTCTGAAGGCACAAGGTATGGGTGGGTTGAGTAGGGTCGTTGGTAAGATGAATGTACGCTGCAGCCACTGTGGCTTGAGCTTTCAGCTTTCTTCATTGCGTTGAGCACCTAGGATAGGCATGACACCGCACTGCCCACCGGGGCTTACTAGCTGCATTCGGCGCCTACTTGAAGGTTCATGGGTGGTTAGAAGTGGGGCTATAAGGACCGTAACTAAGGTCATAGCCAGCTAGAGTTACCTTATAAGCCCACTTGTAACTGCCATCAAGAGAAAACAAGCTCCTCGCCCCCGCGATGGCGCCAAAGAAGCGGCCCGCAGCGGCGGCGGCGGCTTCGGCCGCTGCAAACTCAGACTACTCACTGGGAAGATACCAATCATTTCTATGTGGTTAGAATATTATCATCTGCAGCATCAAGCATCACAAAGTCCCGGACATGATAAAAGGGGGGAAGGGGGGAGGGAGAGGGAGATGGGGGTCTTAGTCGTTGGTTTGGCCTGTCCTGGAATAGCTGCTTAAAGGGCTAGCTTGCGTTGTGCTCGGCTTGCCCCCTCAAGTATTCTTCGGGTCTTATAGTATTATGGTACTACCCTATTCTTGTGTTAGTTATTCTCATGTCTTCTTCTCTTCAAATGCTTTTCTACTTCAACCCAGAGGTGAAGCGTCCTGCGGCAGCGACGAGCGCTGCGAAGAAGCCAGCCTCGAAGAAGGCCGACAGAGATGCGGCACGTATCAATTTCGTACTGGGTTTAGGGTTTAGGGTTTAGGGTTTAGGGTTTAGGGTAGTCACCGCATCTGCACGGCATGTCCACTATTTTTCAGTGAGCTGGCAGGTTGAAGTCGAAGTAGCCGGAGCATGCCCCCACTCTGTGGCCAACTTTTGGGAAGCGTTGGTGACGAGCCTCTGCCTCAGAGCATGATTCCTCGCCGTTGTTTTGCACTTCCGAGTTGCAAGGGATGATAAGGAAGAGGTGAGAATCTTGAGGCATGGAAATCCATCTCTCAGTGGACTTTGAGCGGCAGCTGTTCTCTGGAGAGTGCAACCTCGTTGTAAAGAAGCTGACCACCGAAGCGCGGCATGTTCTTCTGGACGTTCTGGACTTGGAGCTTTGGATTCACTTCTCATCTGGGGGTTTCCGAAATTAGGGGGCGCCTTGTTGGGGTCCTTTATACATAAGTGGAATCCTACTATTTGGGGAGTCTACATGATTCAACTGATTGCTCTTCACCTGTCATCTCATCACTTCTCAACCCTAAACCCTAAACCCTAAACCCTAAACCCTAAACCCTAAACCCTAAACCCTAAACCCAAGTGGAGGTCCACGATGCTGCCTGTGCCTGAGGCTATACACAGCATCACGGACGAGGGTGGCAAGCCAGCTCCTCCTCCTGCATTCAGAAAGTCTTATCGTCTTGTAGGATTATAGGCAAATAGTATTATAGGCACATAGTATTATAGTCTTATAGTACTATAGTATATAGTATGACAGTATTATGGTATTATAGTATTGTGGCATTATAGTATTATAGTAAAATAGTATCATAATAGTATAGTATTATGGGATTCAGAATTTTTTTGGATGGTTGTGCTTGCGGTGTGCTTGCCAGCGCAGCTGGAGGTCAAGTGGGACGTGGAGACACCTGACGGATCCAAAGCCAAGTTTGGCAAAGCCTTAGTGGTTTCCTTGCCACAAGGGGAGTTGTCCAAGATTTGCGTGCGCTACGAGACAACAGAGAAGAGCACTGCCATTCAGTGGTTGACCAAAGAGCAGACCACGGGCAAGAGACATCCTCTGTGCTTTACCCAAAGCCAAGCAATCTGTGGGAGATCGCTGCTACCCTGCCAGGATACTCCATCTGTCAAGTCTCCCTTCTCGATTCATGTTACGGTTCCCACGCCCCTTATGGCTGTGGCCTCAGGAGAGCCAGTGGGGGAGCCCTCCGAAGTAAGTGGACGGCGCACCTTCGTTTACGCGCAGAAGGTCCCTGTGATGTCTTACCTGATTGCTGTAATCGTGGGGGAGTTCGAGTCGTGCGAGATCGGCCGCCGTAGCCGCTGTTATGCTGAACCGGCCGTAGTGGAGGCAGCCCGGCAGGAGTTCACTGACATCGTGGACGAGTTCTTGGACACGGCACAGCGTGTGATTGGTGGTGCTGAGTATGAATGGGGCAGCTACAACGTCGCAGTGTTGCCCTCTTCCTTTGCTTACGGTGGCATGGAAAACCCAAACTGCACCTTTATGAGTGCTTCGCTAATTCCTGGCGACCGCAGCCTCACAACCACTCTGGCGCACGAGATCGTTCATTCGTGGATTGGCAATCTTGTGACGAACGCCTACTGGAAGGATTTCTGGCTAAATGAAGGCTTCACGCGCTACATCGAGCGAAGAATATTAGGCGCCTCCGCTGCTGTTGCCATTGCCCATTCTCGCTTGGCTTTGATGACACAGTATCTGTAGCATTCTGTGGGTAGAACATGTCATAAAGTTGTGTGTGCATAGGCCTCACGGCCACTGCAAGGCAACATTCATGGAGCTGCCTTTCGTGGTTTGCTTCTCATGGTCGGATATAACGACCTGGTGAAGCTGCTTGTCGTGGATCTACATACTCTCGATTCGTGTGCTCGACAGAAGTCCGTTGTGCCGGCACCAGAAGGTCCTGAGGTCCTCAAGTATCCTTGATACGGTTTAGGGTTTAGGGTTTAGGGTTTAGGGTTTAGGGTTTAGGGTTTGGCATCCTCAGCCCCTCCCCCTTAGACACGAGCTTACGATAACCAATTCTTTGGCATGCTCCTCGAGATTTGAAGTCAGCGCAACAATGTCAGATGTTTGCGTGTGCTTCATAGAGTCCATTGGGGCTTTACGAGAATAAGGGGACCCCTGATAGAAACCCCCAAATCATAGCACTCCCTTGTAGTAAGGACCCCAACAGGCTACCCCCAATGTCGCGGAACTCCCATTCGTGGGGGTTTACGAAAATAGGGACCCCCCCAATACAGATCCCCAAATAGTGGAATCCCCTTGTAACAGTGACCCCAATAAGGTACCCCTAATTTCCCATTCATCGGGCACCATGCCCTAAACCCCTAAACCCTAAACCCTAAACCCTAAACCCTAAACCCTAAACCCTAAACCCTAAACCCTAAACCCTAAACCCTAAACCCTAAACCCTAAACCCTTAAACCCTAAACCCTAAACCCTAAACCCTAAACCCTAAACCCAAGGACGGTGGACATGTTGAACAAGCAGGGCAGCCCGGGCTTGACGCGCCTCGAGCCAGACATTGACGACATTGACCCGGACGACGCCTTCTCCCGAGTCCCATATGAGAAAGGCTCCCTCTTCCTACTCTACTTGGAGCAGCTTGTAGGAGGAGAGGAGCCTATGACCAAGTATCTGCAGTCTTATATCCAAAAATTCCGGGGCCGCAGCATCCAGACAAGTGACATGAAGGCCCATTTCCTCGAGTTCTTCAGCGACATCGGCAAAGTGCAGGGAGTTGACTGGGAGCATTGGCTGCACGGGGAAGGGCTGCCAGACTTCGATCTCGCAGCCCACGTCGACAAGACCTTGGTCGACGAGAGCCGCAGTGCAGCAGACCGGTGGCTGGAGGGGATTCCCCTGGATGTCCCCATGATGTCTCTTTGTCATAGTTGGGTACCATGTTACACTTTATTAAGGGTACTTAAAACCCAATAAGGAATTGACATTTAAGTTTTAAATGCTATCCCAACCAAGAACTATAGGTCTTTCAAGGCGCAGCAGGTGATGCTGGTTCTGGACCATCTGATTAACGCCGTCATGGATGGCCAGGGGCTCTCGCACGAAAAGCTGGTGGCCATGGAGAGTCAGTATAATCTTTCAAGCACTCGGAACGTGGAGATTGCCTTCAGGCCCGGCTCCGGTTCAATATGTTTTTTTTTGAGTCTTTGCGAATGCTTTGCAGATGCTTTCTCAAGCCCACTTTTTCTCCACCAAATGATGCAGGTGGTGCCTGCTCGGTTGCCGCTGCAAATGGCCCGGCTGTTTGGACGCCACGGAGCGCTTCCTTGGCAAGCACGGCCGGGGCGTCTATGTGAAGCCTTTTGGCCAGCAGGAAGCGAAATGCAAGTCGCCGCGCACCGTCGCAACTCCGTTCGTGCAAAAGCTAAGGCCATTATATATAGCTCTGAAGGCGTTTGATGCCGCAAGAGCAAAGTCCGTCTTCCTGAAACACGGCGCTCCAGTTGCACAAAATTCTGCATGCTGCTTCGTTTGGCTGCTGATTGATGTATGTACGAGGGCTGTCAGGCATGTCATCTTCTGCTTACCGATGCATGTACCTGGCATGCTGAGGCACTTTCTACATGACTGTGGTTTCAAGACAGATCAGCTCTATTGTGAACGGCTAGCCTGTATTGTCTCACCGAGACTCTCCGTTCATTGGCATCGCACCGAACAAATGCCTGCACATTCGAGGAGCTTTGCCACTTTGTTGGAGCTTGTTGAAAGGGAAGATTGCGAGTGTTGGCCGAACGTTTGGCAAAATGCCTTCCTTCCCATTTACACCCAGTGCACTGGCGTGAACATCAAGTTATAATTTAGTACATTCTGATTGAAATTACGAAAATACTACATATACACAATCAATAACTATAGACTGTTATACTATGTGCTTGACGAAGTGTTGTTCCGAAACAGGCCTCACAGTCTGGCAACTCCTCAGCCGCCCCAGCCGTCGACTCAGCGATGCGCTGTGGCTGCGACCGCCGTGTAGAGTGCTGATGAATACCATGTGGTGTGTGGAATGCTGTGTAGAATGTGAGTGTGCTTCGGAGAAATTGGTGTATCTGTAGTGACGGAGAAAGTGCTAGCCAGCTCAGCTAACGGGCAGCTAACCCACGTTCACGCAGGATGAGGATGCGCGCTTGGAGGGCAAGGCAGCTGCATTGCTTCGGCCTGATTGTGCTCGGCGGAGTTTCGCCCCCCCCTCTCTCTCTCTCTCTCTCTCTCTCTCTCTCTCTCTCTGGCAGTTTCTTGCTTTCCTCCGTGACTTTCGCGACTAAGGTTGAATCTGGTGAGCCATGGTACTTTTGGAGAAGCCGAAGCAGCGAAAAACAAGGAGAAAGCCAAGCCGGGCGAAGCCGGGGTCTGAACTGCAGGAACTCAGCTGACGTGGGGGGATTCTCTAAGTTGTGGTTATTATGGGACCTTTTGTGGGGTGCACTGAACATAAGGCTCCATGTTAACATGGGATCCTAAAAGGGATCATAGTTGAGAGAACCTCCCACGTTGTTTTGAATGTCAGGGTTTGCTCGCGGTGACCTGGCCGAGGCTGCGCAAAAGATCATCTCTGCCTTGAGTTTGGCCCTTTGTGAAGCATTTTGCTGTCTTGCTCTCTGGCCGCCTTCGGCCTGGTTCGGGCTGGCGGCTTAGTCGCTGTCAAGCTATGGCTATGGCATGTCGCGGCAAGGTGCCGTGGCCCAGAAAGAAGATGGAGATGAAGAGGTGCGAGACTCAAGTTGCCCATGTTCCGTTGCAGCCTTGCCGACCCTCTCTTCCCCACACGTGCGCATTGCATGGACGCATGTAAACCCTAAGAATCAACCCTAAGCCATAAAGCCTGCAGACTGGGTGCAGGAGGGTCACGGTACCAAAAGGAAGCTGGAAGAGACAGCTCCGCCTGGCACTGAACGTTTTTAGAGGTATGGGGGCATTTGTACGCGTAAGTCTCTTTGCGAAACACCCATATCTTTCACATAAGTGGGAGATAAAGTGCGAGAAAACATTAATTGTTCTTAATAAGATGTATTACGTTGTTTATTACAGTATTCTACTATGATATGTTACATTTTGTTACCATATTGCTATATTACTATACTGGTTTTCTTAATATACGATTTAAAAGCCTTCTAAGTAATGTCGTATTTCATATCTTATACTTTTATCAGATGGCTATTACCCTAAACCTTAAACCCGAAACCCTAAACCCTAAACCCTAAACCCTAAACCTTAAACATTTCCCAGGGCCCAGGCGGCCGAGTTCGTGGAGTTCGTGGAGCCGTTGGACTGGCAAGTGCGGCTCCGCAAGCTGAACTTCGGGAGCCACTGGCACGTGGTTTCGGGTTTAGGGTTTGGGGTTTAGGGTTTTTGGTTTAGGGTTTAGGGTTTAGGGTTTGGGGTTTAGGGTTTGGGGTTTAGGGTTTGGGGGATGCTCCAAATTCATCATGGGGATTTTGGGGGTACCTTCTATATGCAAGGCTTTGTGGGGCGAGAGACCGATCCGACTTTGCCAGGTTGGACCGGATCAGTTTGGAGATGATTCTCAAGTGGGTGACTGAAGCTGCGGAGGACTGCATGACACTGCATGTTGCGGACATGTGGGCTGGGCAAAGTGGCCATGAGCACAATGGGTTCGCAGGATCGTGAAGCCCAGTTCTCTTCCGACGCTGGGCAGCAGTACCCATACCACGCACGCAATACCATGCTTGGTTGCCCTAAACCCTACGTACACCCTAAACCCTAAACCCTTAACCCTAAACCCTAAGCCCTAAGCCCTAAGCCCTAAACCCTAAACCCTAAAACCCCAAACCCTAAGCCCTAAACCCTAAATCCTTACCTGACTGTGCTCCAAGGACATTATCAGGGTTGGCCTCAATGAGTTTATTCAGCGAGTTCCGAAGGAGCCCATTCCAGACGTGCCTCCGCTTAAATTTGGCGGCGCGTAGAGGGAAGATCTCGCTCACGGCATAGGGTTCACTCTGGACGGCCAGGGGGCTGAGTTTTCGTCCTCGTATTCTGGTATTATCAGAATGTCATGTTATCATATTTTGATATTCTGATATTATGATATCATGATATTGTGATATTATGATATCATGATATTGTGATATTGTGATATCATGATACTATGACACATCATTGTATGATTCACTGCGTTGGTGACCTCTGTACGCTCTTTACTTTCAAAAGGCTAGAGAACGCGATCTTGAATCGACGGACTATGGCTTGATACTGTGGATCAACAGTACCCCTCCTCAGGAGAATGGGTAGTTTTCTAAATTCGGGTCACTTTTTGGGGTCCTTATTGTAAGGGTGCCGTATTATATATAGGACCCCCAAAAGGGGCCCTAATTTAGAGAACTACCCAAATCGAGGGGAGGAGGGGGCTGGAGGGTGATTGGCAGCCCTCAAGAAAGGGTTGTGTTTTCCAGTGTCGATTCACTCAACAAGCACGACAGTTCCACAAGCCCAAGTTCGCCTGGGACCCTAAACCCTGGTAGTCCACTGGTAGTGGTATTGATAGGCGAGTGGCCTTAGAATCTGGGATCCAGACCCTAACCGCGCGCCTCAGGGGGGAGGGGTGGGCGGGCAGGGCGTTTCTCACGGGTAGCATTTAAAAGCACACCTGAGTTCACTTTGCCGAGTATGCTCGGATGTTCCAAACCCACCGCATCACGCACATGATCGAGCTTGAATGGCTGCCGTTTGCTGTTGTGTTTCAGATCAAAGCGATGTCCATGCACTTCCTTATTTCTTGAACTGCAAACAGTCATCCGCAACTCCGATTACCCGAGACACGTCTAGTTGACATGCTGACCTATGCGAATATTGCAATCGCTTGCGTGCCGAGCCGGCCCACGCTTAACGATAACGATAATTTGGATATTAATAATGATAATTCTAATGCTACTAATTCGTATTAATTCACTGATTTTTGTCGTTATTAGTATGAAGAATACTAATAAGAATATTGAACCAAGCAGTTCACCTCGGAGTTTCCAGTCCCCACGGTCGGACTGCAGATTCGAGAATCGACCGCGGGTGGAGCTTTAACCCGCAGCGTAGGTCAGCTTGGAGACGTGTGGCTTTGCTGGAGGGTTTAGGGTTTAAGGTTTAGGGTTTAGGGTTTAGGGGTTTAGGGGTTTAGGAGTTTAGGGGTTTAGGGGTTTAGGGTTTAGGGTACCCCGTAGCCATGTTGGCTTTGATTTGCCGTTGCGCATCTTGTGGTGTCAGCAGGCTGTGCAAACCTTGTGTGTTGGGCCGGGTGCTTTCTTTGGCTTGTTGCCAAGTGAAGCTTGGTAGGAGGGGTGGTGGGAGTGAGCTTTCGGATTCCCACGTGGTTTCCTTGCTCCAGACCCTTGTCGGCCGGTGGCGGCGTAGAATTGCAGGGGGGCTTACGAAAATAGGGGGCCCTCAAAGTAGATCCCCCAAATAGTAAGATCCCCTTAAAGCACTCCAATAAGGTAGGTACCCCAATTTCGGACACCCCCACATACTGTTATCTACAGCTGCTTGTTGAGACCTTGATGGCGATCCGAGGCCCTCATTCGTGAGCGGCAGGCTTTCACCAACAAGCTCAAGGCTTCGGGCTCTCGCTGTGCTTGTTTTCCCACACAAGGGGAAGTGACCGGGGAAGAAAGGGTTTTCTTTCCATCGCTTTTGAGAGAACGCTTGCTTCAACTTGCTGAGGAAGCTGGCTTTGTGGATCTGGCGAAGGCCCCCCCCCCTGTCTTCTTACGCATGTAGTAGCTTATCATGGGGTGAGTGCACAGACTGCTCATGGTCTTAGAATGAGGATTAGGGTTTAGGGTTTAGGGTTTAGGGGAGGATGCTTTGATGTGCCTGACCGAGCTTGCCAGGGTCTGGATCTGGCTGTACGATCCATGCAGTTTTCGGAGCGGCTGGCGAGTGGTTCTCACCAAAGCTGCCTGAGCCCCCAGCACTTGAAGTTCATCAGATGAAACAGTTGTGATGGTTTGGTGACTTCCATTCCTCTCTGGCATCCTATCTATCTTATCACGGATACACTGCTGCAGTTTTGTTACTAGATGCTAGACTAGCTCAGCTTCTGATACCTGCTTCAGTACGGCCCTACACCAGTGGCAAAGTTGGATGCTCACTTTTTTCTTTTGTGTGTTCGGCAGCCATGTGTTGCCACCGCCCTCCGTGATGGGCGGGTGGGTCACACGAGCCGAAACTACTCTAGTTTCCAGTCTGCCTGCAGCTCACTTGTGTGTGTGTGCGTGTGTTGCCTTTCCATCGCAAACCCAGGCTTACACAAGCAAACCCAACAGTCGATGCCTGACTACATGAACGTGGTGGTAAGGCCGGGCGCAGATTTATTTTTCATTATTAGCAGCAATAATAATAATAGTAGTAATAGCAATAATAGTAATAATATCAATAGCAATAACAACAATAATAATAATATTTTGCTTTCCCAGCTTGCTAGGGGATGCGACCGCAATGGCTGGCCCATGCGTCGGGACCCTGAGTAATGTGAGGCCATGGCACGTTCCATCTCTCGTCCTTCTTGCAAGGTCGTGTTTTCCTTACTCACTTGAGCCGTGTGGCGGCTAAATCTGCAGAAGGACGGGTTGTGGGGATGTGCGCAAGTCAAGTTCACCTGACTGCAAGGTCTAGCCGCCGAATGCAAACGGCCTCTCTGTACAATCTCTTTGAAGTGACGTGTAAAGATGTGACGGAGACGACCGAAGCACTTCTTCAGGAGAGGCTGATGGGTCCGCACCCTTCGAAGGCTTGATTGAGTTCGGCAAAGCCGGTGGCTGGAAGTACGTGGTATCTTGGTTGGGGGAGGATCCACAGCCCTCCACCTGGCCTGCGTACACAGTGCTGGATGATCTCGGCTGCAGCATAGCATCCAGAGACATTCCCCTGAAGCTCTTCGCGCTGCTTCATAGGGCACTTACGCATCCGGCATATGTTCAGACAGTGAATCCATCTTTTCCATCCTTTCCGACCGCGCCAGCTCAGAGCCTGTCTCGTTTGGAGAGGCACCTAACCCGAGCCGCAGCCCCTGCCCTCGACCAGAACGCGGAGGAGTCTGGGCTTGCTGAGAAATCCCAGCGCAAGATCGATGAGGTTGCAAGCTGCGGTGGTCAGGTTGGGGATCTCTTCCAGTTTCTGTCCAAGCTTCTGGCTTTCGCTTGGAAAGTGAGGAAGAGCGGCACTGAAAGCATGGGTTCGAGTGGGTTGCTGGAGCTTGAATCCCAGAGTAAGGACCTGTCATCTTCTTACAAGAGCTTTACAGACATCCCGGGCATCGGCTGGAGCTCGGTGTTTGGGCTGGTTGCAGGCTTGATCCAGGACTTAGATGACATCATCAAGGAGAACATGAAGGCAGCCCGCCAACGCGAGGCGCGCAAGAAGCAGGAGGAGACTTCGCAGCGCCTGGTAGCTGGAAACCATCGTGTCGACGAGGATGCCCGCGTCGTGCTTTCTCTGCTGGCGGGTGGGAGGCTGCTCCAGCGGAGTCCCGAAGGCTTAAAGGGGTGCCTCGCGAGGATGAAGCGTCTGGGTGATTCCATGCAGGAGCTGGAGAAGCTCAAGGCTCCAAAGCCTCTGCTGTCCACAGATGCATGGGAAGCGGGCCGCAAGGCCATACAGAGCTACTGCCAGATGAGGCTTCGCTGTTCCAAGGCCTTTCATTGGCTTCAGGCCAGGCAGCTGGGTCACTGCGCCAAGCTCCTCAACTCTGCCAGCCTCCTGGAGTGCTTGGACCTCCTACGCGAAGAGAAAGAAGCCCAGAGGCTCAAAGCTCTCGGTGCGGCTCTCAGTCGACTTTTCAAGGGCGCGAAAGCCGGTATGTCACGGTATGTGGTCTCGCAAACGTGAGGTGACTCTTGTGAGTCTGAGCTGTTTGAGGGCCTAATTTGGGCCCCCCTGCGAGGCCTTCCCCACCGCTGCCATGATCTTCTTCTGTCGCGGGTGGAGAATGACAAGCTGTCCCGCAGCCAGCTGGATCCCAAATTGGAAGAGGCGGCGTAGCTTTCTTTGCCCCCCGGCATCCTCGTGTGCTCCCCCGAAAAGCGCTCACTTAGTTTGCCAGGTTCCCGATGGCTGGGAGTGCGCCGCTCAGTGCTCCAAAAGTCGCAGTGTGCCTCTGCGCACCGGGAAACATCTTCCAGTCATGAAGAGTCACACGTGTTATTGGGTCCTGGGCTCATGTTCGGCGGTCATATTCCGTATGTTCACGACCACGCACGCGCAGTGAGGCAGAGGACGTCTCGGAATTTGAACCTGCAGTACTTCCAGCAAGCCCCGGGCTCATACGTACTGGTTCTTCGTAGGGAATGAGGGAATCAGGTACCCCACCTGTTGTTTCATTCTGTATACACATACACATATTCTTTATGAAGGGGGTACCAAACTTCCTCATGCCCGACTTGGGAACCAGTAGGCATAGCAACACCATGCAAGACTCGAGCCCTTTCGCCTTCACGGGCAGACTTAGGTGGGCTCTGCGACCATGTCTTGGGCGCCCAGCCTCGGCGTGTGGGAGAGGGTTTAGGGTTTAGGGTTTAGGGTTTGGGGTTTAGGGTTTAGGTTTTAGGGTTTGGGGTTTGGGGTTTAGCGGACACGACTGCTGTGCAAGAGTGGTACACAGAGGCGAAAACAGGCAGCAGCGTAGTCAACAGGAAGTGGGTTGATGCACGAGCAAAGAGGATGACAGACAGAAGAGAACTCCTACTACTTGCTGAAGACCCCCAAAAGAAGATAAAAAGTACTAATAATCCCTATATTACCCATATTACCCTTATAAGGAAGAATATTTCTTTTGTTTGTTGGGAGGTTCTTAAAAAACCTAATAATCCCCATATTACCCTCATAAGGAAGATATTTTGTGGGTTCTTAGGCAATTAGTAGAAAGGGAGAGCGACTCTGGGACTCAGTGGATACTCATTTTGACCCAGGAGTGGCCCTTGCCAATCGGCTTGGTATCGTGGAGGCCCTTGCTGTACTGCGCTCTGAGTCTAAACCCTAAACCCCAAACCCCAAACCCCAAACCCAAACCCAAACCCCAAACCCCAAACCCCAAACCCCCAACCCCCAACCCCCCAAACCCCAAACCCCAAACCCTAAACCCTAAACCCTAAACCCTTAAGGCAACCCTGAAGCGTTTTGTAAAGGATTGACGGAAGCACCGGCGAACTGATGCAGCAGCAGGAGGAGGCCCGATGGCCCCACACTTTCCCCGATGGAGAAGTTGAGGGTTTAGGGTTTGGGGTTTAGGGTTTAGGGTTTAGGGCCGCTTTTCGGCTTCTTTCTCCCCTAGAACCCCGTGAGGAACTATATTTGTTATCGTTGTTTTTGTAATAGCCCCTTTAGGAAAGATTTGTCATTTTTATTCAAATGCAACACAAAGGAATCTTGAAACATAAACATGTTTTTGTGAAAGTGCTAAGGGGAGTATGGTCCCTAGGACCGGCTCCTGGCAAGCGCGCGAGTCAGCTCCACGCCTGGGGCCTGGAGACTGATGAGAGAGTGGGAGAGCTGTACTTTGGAGCTTTGTGTTGGGATGTTCCCCCTTATACTGACAGTCCTGAGTAGGGATGGTACTCGGGGGGGTACGATCATCCCGATTTAGGAGCTGTTTGTACAAGGGTGAACATCCCAAGCTTTGTGTGTCAAGAAGCGCGAACCTAGACCCTAAACCCTAAACCCTAAACCCTAAACCCTAAACCCTAAACCCTAAACCCTAAACCCTAAACCCTAAACCCTAAACCCTTCTGAGGATGCCCAAGCCGGGATGTGCTGCCTTCATTGAGGAAGGCCCTTGCAAGTTTCTAGGTAGAATAAGGGGGGGTACCCTTAGGAGGCAGCCCTTTCGAACCCTCTTCTGGCTCTCCTAAACAAAAAACCTTTTTGAGAGGGTCCATATCCCCAAGGGTCCCACGAATCCTATCCCCCCAGCAAACCCTAAACCCTCAACCCTCAACCCTAAACCCTCAACCCTCAACCCTCAACCCTAAACCCTTGCTGCCTAGAGCTCTGTACTCATACACCGGAGCGCCTGCACAGACCCTTCCCCCGGAGCTTCAAAGCTCCCTGGCTGCTAGGAGATGTTGGATAATCCCTAGGGTGTAGGGTTTAGTGTTTGGGGTTTAGGGTTTAGGGTTTAGGGCCCTGAACCCCAAACCTTAAAACCTGTTAGATGTTAAATAATATTTAAACTTAGGGGGGGGGGGCGGTTTCGTATTAGGGGGAAGCGGTTACTGTCTAACATGATGTGAATTGCATGTTAAGATCAACAGATATATAAAAATGTACATATGTTATCATATGGCATTCTTACAGTTTCATATTTAACATGTGTCTTCTTGCGGTTGTTTTTTAGAAGAATATTCAAGCCACACATTATCGCACTATTTGTCTCTTCTCCGCGCTTGTTGCCGATTTGAGCCATGCAGGTGTTTGCTTGCTGTGCCAACACGAAGCGACGAGCTCACACTGGGCGTCATCGGAACATGGTCTGGTTCTTGGAGCCATAGCTTTGCCGTCCCAAACGTCATAGGGTTCGGCTTCAGGGTTTAGGGTACTAGACTTCTGGTTTCTCCTTGACTCTTTGCTTGGCCAAGATTTCCGACTCTTTGGGAAGAGTGGCTACTGCATGTTTAGGGTTTAGGGTTTAGGGTTTAGGGTTTAGGGTTTAGGGTTTAGCATGCTCCAAGGAAAGCGCGCAGCCTTCTGGAAGCAGATGTCTGACCGCTTGGCAATGAGCTGTGTCGATCTCCGCATGGCCGAGGATGAGGCGCGCTCTCCTTAGTTGTAGAGTCGGTGGCCTTTAACCTTTTTGGGGTAATATAACCCCCTTATAATCCCAAAGGTCAACCTTTAGTTCCCCTAGGTACTGGACAACTAGGTCTCTCTATCTCTCTCGCCTCAGCTGGCGAGCTCTCATAAGAGCTCATGGACACAAGCTGTCCTCGGACAGCGAAGCAGGCTGCAAAGTGTATCTTCCGAGTTGAAAGGGAAGCTTCCCGAAACCCAAAACCCTAAACCCTAGACCCTAAACCCTAAACCCTAAACCCCAAACCCTAAACCCTAAACCTTTTATGTAAGCACAGTCCAGTCTTCGTGAACAGGCTTCTCAGCCCGGGCTCGCAGCTGCCTGGCGAGGTGAGCTTTGGCAGGCACACGCTCAAACTCCCAAGTGCCTCCGTACGTTTAGGGTTTAGGGTTTAGGGTTTAGGGTTTAGGGTTTAGGGTTTAGGGTTTAGGGTTTAGGGTTTAGGGTTTAGGGTTTAGGGTTTAGGGTTTAGGGTCCGAGCAGTTGCAGAGAACCTGTAGCACTTGCAGGTTCATGGTACTTATTCACCAGTCATAGCTGCACGCATGACCCACTGACAATCCCCTTAAGTGCCCTAGTATGGTTATAAGTACACTTTTAAGCACACCTAGACGTACACTTATAAGTACACTTACAAATAGATTTATAAGTACACTTATAAGTACACTTACAAGTACACTTATAAGTACACTTATAAGTACTCTTATAAGTACACTTACAAGTACACTTATAAGTACAGTTATGGTCAATGAGCACCATGAAACTCCAAGCAGGCCTTGCGGACGCCCCCTTCACCACCGGCAAATGCTGGAAGCCTCAGGTTGAAGACAGGTTTAGGGTTTAGGGTTCAGGGTTTAGGGTTTAGGGTTTAGGGTTTAGGGTTTAGGATATCCCTCATGGTATCAGCTCAGCCGATCAGTTCCACTGACCTGCCGAAAGCTTCTCTAGGCGGGGGCCTTCCCAAATAGGGGGCCCCCAACGCTAAACCCTAAACCCTAAACCCTAAACCCTAAACCCTAAACCCTAAACCCTGAACCCTGAACCCTAAACCCTAAACCCTAAACTCTAAACCCCTATTTTCGGAACCCCCAGAGATTGCCGAGGTCCTGGCCGTGTTTTGGCGCAAGGTGGTGCTGGCGAACCTCTCGCCTTCATGCCCAGCTCATGCGGAGCATGATGCTGCCCATCCGGCTCGTCGAAGCTGCCAGTAGAGTCCATCATAGTCCTACATACATACATGCAATATATATATATATGTATATATATATGTATATATATATATATGTATATATATATGTATATATATATAGGGGGGTTTAAGAAAATAGGGGACCCCTCATATAGAAACCCCCAGATGGAAGGATGCCCGTTTAGCAAGGACCCCAATAGGGTACCCCTAGTATCGTAAACCCCATAGAACATCCCAGCCAGGACCTACCGGCGAGGCGGCGTATATTCAAGAAATACACATGTTTGGTGTTCATAGTGATTTTCTTCGGGTATGTGTATACAAAGCATCATACGTGGCACAAGCGAATCGCTGCTTTTGAAATCGATCTTACATATCCTCCCGAACTGAAGACACAGTTCGATAAATGCATAGAGCGTATGGGCAAGTTCTCATGATCAAGTTTGTTCCCCCCAAGCAAGCATTGTACATAACGCAACTACTGTGACTAACACAATTGGAAGTCATTTTTTTGGAGTATCTTCACTATTCCCCACCTTTGAAATAGGAGAACTCATTCATAAGCTGTCTGTTTTTAGTTCAATGAATACAACTAGCCCCTTTTCACTGCATATAAAGCCGGCCACAGATTCTGTTGGACATCGGTTGTCCCAGTAGCTGCCCTTCCTTCTCTTCCAGAATTCCCGGCTACTCAAGATGTATTACTTCAGCATCTGAATTTTAACGCTACGCGACCCGCCTCGGCCCGGCCCAGCGCATCCGCGTGAGCATGGTGATTCCGCAGCGCCCAAGTCGCTGGACCCCAAGCAATAAGGGTTGGGTTGAGGGTTGAGGGTTGAGGGTTCCGGGATTATGGTTTATGGTTTGGGGTTTGGGGTTGAGGGTTAGTTTAGGGCTCAAGGTTCACGCTTTGGGGTTGAGGGTTTTTTTGGGTTTAGGGTTCGGCTTGGAGTGATCGTAGGGTTGAGCCAGGCCCCTTAAGGTTTAAGGCGACTCTTCGGCAGAATTGGGGGCGGGGTGGAGGGTTGGGGAGGGGGGGGGGTGGGGGGGGGGGGGGGGTGGTGGGGGGGGTGGGGGGGGGGGGGGGGGGGGGGGGGGGGGGGGGGGGGGGGGGGGGGGGGGGGGGGGGGGGGGGGGGGGGGGGGGGGGGGGGGGGGGGGGGGGGGGGGGAAGGGGGTGGGGGAACTGCTGGGAGGGGCTTCAACTGCCTCTGGTCCTGGCGAACCGTCCGCTTGCGGACCCCGGTTTCCCAGGGGGGGTACCCATTTGAGGCCAAAAAAAGGGGCCCGAAAAAGGGCTTCGTTCGGGTGTGGGGAGGATTTGGAGGGGGGTGCCTGTTCTGACAACCTATACACCTCCGGCCCGAGGCCTCGGCGGATTGACCTCCTCATTATGTTAGTCAAGCCAGCAGAACAATTTGCATGTGTTTAAGGTCCCTAGACTCTAAACCCTAAACCCTAAACCCTAAATGGCACTGGCGTATGCCAGGACAAAGTGGATGGCTTGCGAGCGCGTCTCGAGAGCGCATTGTCAGCCGGGGGCTTGGGGGGTTCCCTGAACCCTAAACCCTAAACCCTAAACCCTAAGCCCTAAACCCTAACATAGCAGCCCTAGAACCCCAAGCCGAAAGGCTGATGCCCTGTAAACCCTACAAAACCCAGCGCCGTGATGTTAATGTGGGGGGCCGGTGCAAACGCCCTTGCTTGCCCCCCCGAGCCTAACACCTCCCCAACCCCCGCCCCCCGTTTTTTATACCATACGAATCCCTTCCAAACCCAAATGGCCCCAGTCACACGGGCAGCGTCTGGGGCTTAGGGCGCCCGCTGTGTGGCCAGAACCATATACAGCTGATGCTCATGATGCTCGCCTCCTGTCAAATGGCCTGGGGCTTTTAACCAGAAGCATACCCAGCAGATGCTCATGATGCTCGTTTTTGGCTCACCAAATGACCCCAATCACACGGGCAGTTTGTTCGGCAAGCGTCTGGGGCTTAGGGGCCGTGTGGCCAGAAACGTACCCAGCTGATGCTCATGATGCTCGCTTCCCGGCTATGGGCAGTTCTGGGGCTTGGGGGGCTGTGTTGTTCAGGACCATACCCAGCTGATGGCCAGAAGCATATTCAGCTGATGCTCATGATGCTCGGCCTCTTGGCTCGCCAAATCACACGGGCAACTTACTAGTTTACTCTGCAAACGTCTGGGGCTAGGGGGCGTGTGGCCAGAAGCATACCCCTGCTGATGCTCATGATGCTCGCCCGCTGGCTCGTCAAATGGCCCCAGTCAGATAGAAGAGTTTGTTCTGCTTACCCAGCTGATGCTGATGATGGCTCGTCACATGGCCCCAATCACAAGGGAGTTTGTTCTGCAAGCTTCTGGGGCTTAGGGGGCCGTGTATCCAGATCCATACCCAGCTGATGCTCATGATGCTCGTCTCCTGGCTCGTCAATTCACACCGGCAGTTTACCAGTTTACTCTGCAAGGGTGCCGTGTGGCCAGAACCATACCCAGCTGATGCTCATGCTGCTCGCCCCCTGGCTCGTCAGATGGCCATAATCAGTCACACGGGCACTTTGTTCTGCAAGCGTCTGGGGCTTAGGGGGCCGTGTGGCCAGAACCAATAGTTGTTTAGGAGCTCGAAATGAAGACGCGTCAACTTACAGTATTTAACATTTGCGAACGGCCGAGGTGTCGAACCAGACCTAGGCAAAAGTCCAAAAAGGAGAGCCAGACCTAGGCACATTCATATTTTAGGAAATGCCCTATAGTTCATCTTACCCTAAACCCTAAACCCTAAACCCTAAACCCTCAACCCTCAACCCTCAACCCTCAACCCTCAACCCTCAACCCTCAACCCTCAACCCTCAACCCTCAACCCTCAACCCTAAACCCTAAGCCCTAAACCCTAAACCCTAGACCCTAAACCCTAAACCCTAAACCCTAAATCCTAAACCCTAAACCCTAAACCCTACACCCTAAACCCTAAATCCTAAACCCTGAACCCTATCCCAGGCTGCGAGAATCGACGAGAAGGGGCAGGACCGTTCTCCTGGCCGAGCTCCACTCAAGTTCTCTGAATGGGTAGTTCCCTAGATTAGGGTACCTTTTTGGGATCCCTTTTTAAAGGGTGCTGCCTTATAGTGGGGTACCCAAAAGGGACCCTAATTTAGGAAGCTACCCGAATGCTGACATTTTAGGACGGCAAAGCAGAACACGAGGGTGCTGCGGTGAAGGCTCACCAGCATCCATCAGTGTTGTACCCTAAACCCTAAACCCCTAAACCCTAAACCTTAAACCCTAAACCCTAATGATTCCAGACGTGCTTTCTTCAGGTGAAATCCCAAGCCAACAAACTGGACTCTTGGGTCGCAAGTCGCAGCAGGAGACGCTAAAAATGGGGGGGGGGGTTCTGAAATTCGGGGTTTAGGGTTTAGGGTTTAGGGTGTAGGGTTTAGGGGTACCATATTGGGCTGCTCATGATAGGGGTTTCCTATCATTTGGGGATCTATATTGGGAGTCCCCTAGTTTCGTAAACCCCCAAATTCATCTGAAGGCTGCGTTGCCTGATTTCTTGTTGGGGGGTGGCTACTGTCAGTACAGGGCAGCTAAGGTGCCGTTAATCGACTTTGATCGGCTGCGTTTCAGCCCCGGGAGCCATAAGATGCGTGCGCTGCAGCTCCTATCACGCTGCAAACGCCTGTGTTGGATCCTGTCCTGGCGGCCTTGCTACTTAGGTCGGAACCCAAGTAGCATACCGGCTGCCGCTCCAGCCTCATCAGGAGTGTACACTTGGGATGTTCCCCCCTTATGCTAACAGCCCTTCATAGGGATTATAGTACCCCCGATTAGAATTCCTATTAGGGACTGTGAGTATAAAAGGGGAAGATCCCAAGTGTACATGGTGACGGTGATTCTCTGCTGACGTGCCCCGAATTGTGTGTGTTGCCGAGGTCGAGGCCGTGAAGGAATTGCGCCTTGCGTTAATCGCTGCGCCTCTGTACATAAGGCTCCCCAGCAATCTCCAGCATCATGCCACGAATCGCGTCTGTGTTGGCTTACAGCAAGAGCAGGTCCACTGCAAATCAGTACGGTGTGGCGACGCTTCGCCGAGCTGAGGTTCTTCGTAGTTTCCGTGTTGAGTTGTGATCATGTGTTCAGGCAAGAATCATGTAACCGCCAGCGGTCCACGTGTATATTTGCTTGAGAAGCTTGCTGGTAATGGCGGCTCGAAGCTGGCAACTCTGCACGTCGTACGCAGCAACACAGCAACAGCATCCTCCAGGGAAGAGAGAGAGAGAGAGAGAGAGATATATATATATATATATATCTGTGGAAATATATACATATAATGTAAAAATATACAATATATGTATATATATATATTTATATTATGTTATATTGTACAGAATGTACAAAAATATGGTACCCCCCCCAAAGATCCACCCTTTTTCCTCTTTTTTTCTCTGTTGAGGTGTTGCTGCTGTGTTGTTACTGTGTTGGTTTCCTTTTGTTATGTTTTAGTAGCCCCGACACATGATAATAAACGACACACGACACCAGTACCTTTATTTACTTGACCGAGGCCCCGCGAATTTAAAACCGCATTTAAAAATTTAAGTTAAATGCGGACCAGCCCCCTGGAACCAAGAACCAAGAACCAAGATGCCCAGGACTCTTGATTCTGGAATCTTGGTTCCTGGGGGGGGGGGGGGGTCCGCATTTAACTTAAATTTTCGAATGCAGTTTTAAATGCAGCCCCAGGAACCAAGAACCAAGAACCAAGATGCCCAGGACTCTTGATTCTGGAATCTTGGTTCCTGGGGGGGGGGTCCGCATTTAACTTAAATTTTTAAATGCAGTTTTAAATGCAGCCCCAGGAACCAAGAACCAAGAACCAAGATGCCCAGGACTCTTGATTCTGGAATCTTGGTTCCTGGGGGGGGGGTCCGCATTTAACTTAAATTTTTAAATGCAGTTTTAAATGCAGCCCCAGGAACCAAGATTCAAGAACCAAGATGCCCAGGACTCTTGATTCTGGAATCTTGGTTCCTGGGGGGGCGGGCTGCATTTAACTTAAATTTTTAAATGCAGTTTTAAATGCAGCCCCAGGAACCAAGATTCGAAGATCAAGAGTCCTGGGCATCTTGGTTCTTGGTTCTTGGTTCCTGGGGGGCGGGTCTGCATTTAACTTAAATTTTCAAATGCAGTTTTAAATGCAGCCCCAGGAACCAAGATTCGAGAATCAAGAGTCCTGGACATCTTGGTTCTTGGTTCTTGGTTCCTGGGGCTGGTCCGCATTTAACTTAAATTTTTTAATGCAGTTTTAAATGCAGCCCAACCCCAGGAACCAAGATTCCAGAATCAAGAGTCCTGGGCATCTTGGTTCTTGGTTCTTGGTTCCTGGGGCGCATTTAACTTAATTTTTTAAATGCAGTTTTAAATGCAGTCACGTCTCGGTTATGGATTATTAGCATTGGGCTGCGAAATTTTCCAATGCAATTTTACATATAGGAAACCCCTAAACTTACCATCTGCCACACTACATGATAAAACCTGGGAGTCACCGACTCATTTCCTCTCCGTCATCTATCTCTTGGAGTCACTGCCTCGCTTACAAAACTCTTTCGGGTTAAGCAATTAAACCCAAACCCTTAACTGTTAAACCCTATATGGTTAAGGTTTAAAGGTTTAGGGTTTAAGCTGTAGACATTTACACATAAGTCGGCAACTAAACCTAAACCTTTAATCTTTGAACCCTATAGGTTCAATGTTTAAAGGTTTAGGGTTTAAGATTTATAAGCATTAAAACCTAAGCCCATAGAGTCCAAACCTTAGGGTTTAAGGTTGAGGCATTCAAACCTTTTGGGGTCTAAACCCTAAAACCCTATAGGGCCCAACAAGGCTCCAAGGTTTTAATCCCACAGGCGCTGAAGGTCTACATGCCCAGACCGTAGGTTTGTAAACCATTAAACCCTATAGGGTTTAAAGGTTTAGAGTTTTTTGCAGGATTTATCTCTAGCACCATCACGAGCTTCACCCTTTTAGGGCTTCAGCCCTATAGGCTTAAGGTTTAGGCAGTATCTAGGCGTAGAACCTTATAACCTTGTGATTTAGGCATTTAAACCTAAGGCCATTTAGGTTTAAGGTTTAGGCATTTAAACCTTAGCCCTAAGCTCTTTAGGGTTTGAAGCCTAAAACCCTACAGGGCCCAAACTCAAAGGTTTTAACCCTATAGGAGCTGAAGGTAGACATGCCCAAACCTTGGGCTTGTAAACCATTGAACCCTATAGGTTTGAAAGGTTTAAGGTCTTTTCAGAGTTTATCTCTAAAACCGTCACGGGGTTGGCCCTATAGGGTTTAGAAGTTTAGACCCTAGAGGGTTTACAGGTTTCGGGTTTAAGGTATAGGCATTGTCTATAGGAGTAGAACCTTATAACCCTGGAGGGTTTGAGGCTTACATCTCTAAACCTCAAATCCCGGGTTATGCCCATGTTTGCAGGGCTTGCCTCATGTGAAAATGCAAAGATAAAGTAGAAGAAGTACCCACATCATGTATGTATATAGGGTATAAATATTGTATATCAAACACAGATAATGGAGAAGGCATGGGTGATGCGAAAAAACATCATCTGCTGTAAGTCCCGGGGACGCGAGAATACTGTGAGCAATTATCTTTTCACTCTTCCCTGAGACCGCCTGAAGTTTTTTTATAGATACTTTACGGTTGCATTTGTGTTTTTCGGGGGTGCTTCAGGTGGTTGTGTGCCGTTATATCTATAGCGAGGGTTTAGGGTGGTTTTGAGTGAAAGACTAGTGAAAGGGGTACGTACGCCGAAAGGTTTTGCTTAGATCCTCTACTGATATATTTGTGTTTTTCAAGATGTTTCAGGTGGTTGTACGTCTCGTCAGGAGAAACGAGAAAACATGCTACGGGAACTGTGTTGTATATTGAAAGTCTCTAAAACGGTGGAAAGTCTCTAAAACGGTGGATCTTTGAGGGGGGGGGGGGGTAGCTAAAATATATATAGAATATTACATACATATTTGTATATCTAGATGTCTGCACCATTTCTTCGCGCACGAGAGCAAGAAAGACCCCGAGTCGACTTTCTTCCAAGATGGGCGCGGCGTCTTCTTCCACCCACCGCGGCTCCCTTAGCCGCCTTCCAGCCTGCGAGGATCATGTCCGTGGCCGCATGGCCGTTCCTAAACCCTCAACCCTCAACCCTCAACCCTAAACCCTAAACCCTCAACCCTCAACCCAAACCCTAAACCCTAAACCCTCAACCCTAAACCCTATAAACCCTAAACCCTAAACCCCAAACCCTAAACCCCGTTCCTTGTTGAAGATGTTTGAGATCCCGCGAGGCCGAGAGGGTGCCAGACAGAGACTGTGCCATCCTTGGAATCGGTCAGCAATGCCTGACATTCTTCAGCTCATCAGAATTGCCTTAAACCCTAAACCCTGAACCCTAAGCCCTAAACCCTGAACCCTGAACCCTAAATCCTATGTCATGAAAAGCGGCGCCCCGACTCTCCTTACAGGTCGGCCACCGCGCTGGCGGTCTCAGCATTTGGAGCTTGGAATTTGGCCTGGGTGGCTCCGTTGCAGCCACAACATGGCCTTTCGAGAAAAGCTCCCCAAACTGCGCGTTCGGCCTTCCCCATGCGGGGAGGCCGGCTGCCGCAGGACCACCTAAAGGTGTGTAAACTCCTCCTTTGTGTGCTGCGGCTCTGTTGAAATGTCTTGGGAGGCACGTTGAAGTCGTGAGATGAGAGCGGCATCCACACTTGAAATGTTCTTGAACGTTTCCTGGCCGAGTCCATCGCCGATATCGTGACATGTAATTAGTAGTGGCCCCTGTGGAGGAACAATTGGCCGCGGTGGCTGCTTCTCTTCGGAGAGAGCGTGCAATGATCGAACAGAAGCAGCAGGAACTTCAGCGGACGCCCAGTTGCAAGGAGGCGGTGGGCACTTGCAACCTGTGGCTGGAAGAGCCCTAAGCCCTAAACTCCCTAAACCCTAAATGCCCCAAAAGAAGTGCTGCCAAAGGACTGCTGCCGTGCTGGCGAAGCAGAAGCGGCAGATCGAGGTGGAGCGTGAGTTGTTCTTTAGGGGGCTGTACGCCATAGTAGCCACAGCGTGCTTGACTGACATGGTTGCACGAATGAGCTGATTTGACATGCTTTGCCCACTGCCCATGCAGATTTCTGGCAGGAAGACCTGACGGCACAGGCAAATGAGATCCAGGAGTTCAAGTCCAAAGCAGAGGACAGGCTTCAAGCAGAGCGGGCGGCGCTCGAGAAGGAGAAAGCGCGGCTGACCAAAGAATCCGAGGCACACGCTGGGCCTTGGTCAGACTCTGATTCTTTGCGACATGCGCCTTTAGACTGCAGAGGAGTGTGAAAGCCAAGACACAGTTAGTCTGATAGGAGGCCTGTTGCTCGAGCCCCCTGAGTGGCCCTTTGGCCCTGTGGCTGTGCCGTGGACAGAGCGCTCTGAAGTCGTGAGGCCCTCGCGTTGACCCAGCAGTCCCTCATGCAGCGCGCAGAAGCCATGAGCAAGAGCCGGCCTCGAGTCTCTGAACCGGATGCAGTTGGGTTTCAGAAAGTTTGAGACCGTGTTCCGAGGTCTGTCGACATCCGTAGCAACGAGCAATCGCTCGAGCTGGTTGAGGCTGTGCGGCGGGAGAAGGCTCTGCAGCAACACTTTTGCAGACTTTGAGGGAGTCTTGGTTTCGCCGCTTTGTTTCCGTCCTCGTTGGGTCAGGCAGCGCTGGCACGTGGGCGGAAGCAGCTGAGGCAAGAAGCCGAGGCAAAGCGGCTCGAAATGGGGCCCAAAATGCCCCGCCAACCCCCTTCACTTCTCATGCGCGCGCCGCGCCTCTGCGCAACGCGCGTCGTCCACACCGCTTGACAACCTCTCGAGCTCTCGGGCAGCCGCAGGCTATCGCAGAGGCCAGGCGACAGCTGGAAGCTAGCATGGATCGAGGCACCGGCCGTCTCCTGCCCTTTCGGAAGTGACTTTAATACAATATAATATAATCTAATATAATATAATATAATATATCTTTCGTACTGAGTCTGTGCCTCTACTTACTCGAGTTTACTCGAAGGCCAGGAGCTCGATGAGCTGCGAGCCAAGGCCGAAGCTCTAGAAGCGGAGGCAGGTGTAAGGGTACTCTACTACTCTACTACTACTCTACTACTCTACTACTACTACTACTACTACTACTACTACTACTACTACTACTACTACTACTACTACTACTACTACTACTACTACTACTACTACTACTACTACTACTTCTACTACTACTGCGTGATAAGGTACTTGAAGGTTCATGGGGAGTTTTAAGTAGTGGTATACGTATGCTATAAGTAGCCCAAACAAGGTTCGAGCCGGTTATAGTACAGCTACCTTACGTAAAACCCCAGTTATACCTACCCATGAACCTCCGAGTACCGTCATACGGGTATCTCCCAAACTAGGGGTACCCCTTATACTACACCCCAAATAGACTAGAATGCCCTTGAAAGGGACTCCCCCCACAAGGATACCCCTCCTATTTTCGGAAACCTCCCCGCATATGGAGTCAGAAGCACCGGCACAGGGGGCTCTCGATGCAAGCTCGGGCCAGGCTGCCGCCCTCAAGCGCGAGCGCTCCGCGCTGGAGAAGCAGCGCGCGCGGATTTCCGCCGAAGCTCAGGAGCAGTGACTTCCTCCGGGAAGGGCTTGGGCCAGTGTTTCGCACCTCTCGTTTTTCTTACTCTTACCCCTATAAACCCTAAACCCTAAACCCTTCTGATTTTTTTCGCAGGACATTGCTGAAGAGCGAGAATACTTGGAGCAGGAGGCCAAAGCTCTTCATCGAGCAGTTGCCCGAGGCAGCTCTCAAAGAGTATACGGCGCATGTGCTTTCAAGAGCCTCTGAGGTCTATTCTCGGGGGTTGTCGCGTTTTTCTTCTGCAGACTTCTCATGAGGGAGTGTCGGACTGGCGGGGCATTGCTGCGCATTCGTGGCACGAAGGCGACGAGGGGGGCAAGGCGGACAAAGAACTTCTGGCATCGTTGCGCGTCGCGGCAGCTCTGCTGGATTGCTGTGTAGGGAGGGTCGCGTGACACCATCGAAGAACAGAATCTCAGAGTAGAATAACAGAAGCTGCACCACTAAATAGGGACATCGGTTTGAGTTAGTTCATTCTTTGAATCGCTATCGATTCTTGTTCGTACCATACTCTTCAGAGGTTTAGGGTTTAGGGTCGTACTGCTAGAGCCAACCCGGATGCCGATATGGTTTTGGTGCTTGTTGGGTAAGCAGCACCCAGGAATCGTGTTCGGTCGCTCCCGGCCTTTCCGTTACCTCCATTTCTATCGTAATCTCATCTGTGGGCCCTGCCTCAAGGAGGCTAGACGCATTTCCACAAGCCGGTCTGCCCCAGCACAGTGTCAGCCGAGGAGCAGCAGCTTGCGCAACAAACGGCGGAGTTTCGTGCTTTGGCACAGAAGAAGCCGGGAGTTTCGCTTGTTTCGCAAGAGACAGCTAGGATTCTTCGCACTCTGCCCCACCCAAGGAAATTTCAAGTCCCGAGTGGAGCAGCAAGAGAAGTCCCTGGGTCAGCGGGCCTTGGCCAAAGCTGCAAAGCCCCTCCTCGCTGTGCTTGACGACTTCGCCAGAGCTCGATTGGCGAGTGATTCCAAGGGAAGCCCCTGCTGCATATTGGGTTTAGGGTTTAGGGTTTAGGGTTTAGGGTTTAGGGGGCGCTTGGGTTGAGTGCCATCATGAGAAGCAGTGATGAGATGTGTGTTGTCAGGAGAAGTTCAGAAAGTTCTTCGCCCGCTGCGAAATCGCTTGGTGGCTTCTTGTCTTGACCGTGTTCCCTCCCTAGAAACCCGAAACAAGCCCAATTGTCTACTTCGAACATCCCCGCCCTAGAGCTGAGCAATTTCATGGGAGAGATTCTTTTGGGCGGGATTCTCTGAAGGTCAGGGGTACTGTATGGGATTCCCAGGGGGATTCTCGCTGACTTAAGACCTATGTCGACCCCCACCGAGGGTGGGGAAACACACCGAAAATTCCTAAATCAAAGTCCTACTGGCCCCTACCTCCTCTCTCTCTCTCTTCTCTCTCTCTGTCTCTCTTTCTCTCTCCTTCTCTCGCTCTCTCTCTGTCTCTCTCTCTCTCTCTCCCTCTCTCCCTTTCTCTCTCTCTCACCCCAAACCTTAAACCCTAAACCCTAAACCTCTCTCCCACCCCAAACCTTAAACCCTAAACCCTAAACCTCTCTCTCCCTCTCTCTCTTGGCTTCAGACCGTGCTGGAGTCGGAGTTCGGAGTCCGGCCCATGCCTGATGCGGTGGGCCAGGCATCTGTTCTTTGCTGTTGTTTGCATGATGTTGGGGAATCAGGGCTTAGGGTTTGGGGTTTAGGGTTTGGGGTTTAGGGTTTAGGGTTTAGGGACGCTGCCCGCAGGGTGCAGTCTTTTCAAACCGACGCTCCATGATGGTATTTCAATGGGGGTACAGATGATCAGGCGCAAGAGGGACGGTCCACCCACATTTGAAAGCTTGACAGTGTAGGGTTCAGGGCGAACTCTTGCACGGGTTTACATACGCAGTCATCTTGAACTACTGGAGGTTTTTTCAGAGCTCTGAGTTGTGTGGGTACTGGCCGCAACCGATGCGGGACCCTTGCTCAAGCCGTCGGGTGCTTTGGAACACAGTTTTACAGCGGGTTGGAGGTTGGGAGGCAGGGGTGACGCTGTGAAAGGAGTCTTCTTCTTTTTTGGTTTTGTTTGGGGGGGGGGGGGGGGTTGTAGGGTTAGGGTGGTAGGTTGGCGGGGGGGGGGGGGGGGTGGGGGGTGATGGGGGGGGGGGGGGGGGGGGGGGGGGGGGGGGGGGGGTGGGGGGAAGTGGGCGTCCGGGGTGGGGGGGGGGATGGGGAGGGGGCGCGGGTGGGGGGGGGGTGGGGGGGGGTGGGGGGGGGGGGTGGGGGGGGGGTTAGGGTTCAGGGTGGTTGGGAGGGGAGGCCTGAGAGAGTTTGGGAGGTTTAGGAGAGCCAGTTCCCGAGGGTTGGGCGTGATTTGTGAATTTAGGGTTTAGGGTTTAGGGTTTAGGGTTTAGGGTTTAGGGTTTAGGGTTTAGGGTTCATCATGTTGGAAGCAGGGGTTGAGTCCCGTGGTGTAGCCGTCCGTTTGATTGTTGAGGTGTCTCCAGATACTCCCCTGCCAACTTCAAGCCTTTACAGTACTGCACTGGAATGTTCCCCCTCATACTAACAGTCCTTAATAGGGATTCTAGTACCCCTATTCGAACTCCTATTAAGGACTCTCAGTATACGGGGGATCATCCCAAAGCCTTAAACGTACTGAACCAGGTGCCGCCAGATACTGTCGTTGAGCAGCTGGAAGAGGGCTTCTGCTTTGGCGATTCAAAGGAAGTTTTGCGGCCAGCCAAGGCGTGCGGCTGGAGCATGGCCGAGTTGGGATGTTCCCCCTTCTACTTGCAGTCCTTAATAGGGATCATCATAGGGGGTACTAGAACCCCGGTTGAGGACTGCTAGGAAAAGGGGGAACATCCCAAATGGCGTGTCCTGAATCTGATCGCTCAAATTGCTAGTTTGCGGTGTATGCCGGGCCTGAAAGTGCAAGAGAGAACCGCAAAGTTGATTCCAGGTGATCGTTTCGAGTGCATGACTGACGCGTGGAGATCGGCTTTATGCGGGCAACGTTGCATGTGCCCTTTGACTGCAATTTTCAATGCAATGCGCCCGACATCCGCGGCGATGTCTTCATGATGCTCATACGCCAGTGCGCCAGAAAGGCGGCACTGTCAGGCAAGGTCACCTCGCCAAAGGACGAGCCTGGATCTTCCATTGCTTTACCCCTAGATTTCGTTCAGAAGGTACAGAACTGTACAGATTGGTACAGCATAAAGACCGGGACCTTAAGCGTGTGAGCAAGAGCGCTTCGGCCTGACCTGGTTTCGTTGTTCGCGCTCGCTTTGCACATCGAGTGCCGTGCAGCTGTGTGCAGGCGGTGATTCAGAAAGCATGCCTGGAGCCCTCCTTTCACGTCAACGTGCGCGCCTGGCTGCTGAAGCACCAGTGCCTTGGCTTCAAGGCGCTGAAGCTCTGCAGCGGGAGTTTAGAGCTAGCTCGGGATGTTCCCCCCTTATACGAACAGTCCTTAATAGCGATTATCATAGGGGGTACTAGAGTCCCTATCAAGGACGGTTATCATAAGGGGGACCCTAAACCCTAAACCCCTAAACCCTAAACCCCTAAACCCTAAACCCTAAACCCCAAACCCTAAACCCTAAACCCTAAACCCCAAACCCCAAACCCTAACTTCTAGATCACAGGCTTGAGAGCTGCTTGGATGTCCTGGCAGTCCGAGGCCTGGTGTGCAGCCTTGTTTTGTCGGCCAAGTCCTTGTTTAGGGTTTAGGGTTTAGGGTTTAGGGTTTAGGGTTTAGGGTTTAGGGTTTAGGCTTGGGGCAGGACTTGGGATGTTCCCAATTCTACTAAGAGTCCTTACTTGGGATTCTAGTACCCCCTTACGAGAATCCAGGGATTCTAGTACCCCTTTTATGATGATCCCTTATTTTGGGATTATAATCCCCCTGTTACAATACCGATTAAGGACTCCTAGTGTGTAAGGGGGGAACATCCCAGGGCAGAAGGATTCTGAAGTCACGAAACCCTAAACCCTAAACCCTAAACCCTAAACCCTAAACCCTAAACCCTAAACGTAGGCGTCTTGGACGCCCTCCAGCTCAAGGAAGCTCCCAAGGCCGAGATGTGATGTGGGTGATGTTGCCAAGGGTGGAAGCGTGGGTGCCCCCATCCTCTTACGCCCTAAACCCTACACCCTAAACCCGAAACCCTAAACCCTAAACCCTAAACCCGAAACCCGAAACCCGAAACCCTAAACCCTAAACCCTAAATACCCTAAACCCTAAACCCACCGGAAGAATCCAGGCCGATGCAACCCAAAGCTTGCCTGGACGATTTGTGGACGCCCTGGCGAAGGCACCTTCGCCTCCACTCTTTTCGCTTAGAGGGTTTAGGGTTTAGGGTTTAGGGTTTAGGGTTTAGGGTGCTTGGTACCCTCAAGGACTCTATACTTCCAGAAGACCTAAGAGTTGAGTCCTTAAGGGTTCTAGTATCCTAATTATGGGGTTCCTGGGGGTTGATAGGGGTAGGGTTTAGGGTTTAAATTTAGGGTTTAGGGTTTAGGGTTTAGGGTTTGGGGTTTAGGGTTTGGGGTTTGGGGGTTTAGGGGTTTAGGGGTTTAGGGGTTTAGGGGTTTAGGGGTTTAGGGGTTTGGGGTTTACGGTTGTTTTTTTGTTTTCTGTGAGGCGCTGTATGAAGGAGGCGACTTGCGAAGAATGCGTGGCACCAGAGTGCTGCCGGATGGATGGGTCAGCACGGCCCGTGTTCCTGAGTGCTGTGCTGCCTTTTGTATTCTTAGTGAAACCCTAAACCCAAACCCTAAAGCACACTGCAGGAGATGGTCTACTCGCGCAGTGTAGGTGCGGAGCCCAGAAGATTCTTTTGGATTGTCTGTTCAGTTTGATGGCTCCTGCGAGAGGTTGTCTTGCCGCTCCTGGAAGTTACGAGTCCCAAGCGGATGATGAGGTCTGTGCTACTATCACGAGATCCCACCGGGCGGCGCACAGAAAGGGCGCAACAGTGGCGACGTTTCCAGATCTGACTGGCAGATGCTTGGAAAGAGGATGCGGCAGTAGCTCAAATGAGGGATGGAGCCTAGTCCCTGCACCTAAACCTTGCTTATAAAAGATTGGGAGCTTCGATGGGATGAGCATGTAGTTTTTTTTTTTTTTTTTTTTTTTTTGTGTAGTAGTGTGTGTGTGGTGTGTGTGGTGTGTGGGTGGGTGGGTGGTGGGTTGGGTGGGTGGGTGGGTGGGTGGTGAGGAGTGTGTAGGGGGTGGGTGAGGGTGAGTGTGCGTGTGAGTGTGAGTGTGAGTGTGGGTGTTTTGTGGTGTGAGTGTAAGTTGTGATGTGCTGAGTGTGCGGGAGTTATGTGTGACCTGTTGTGTGTGTGTGTGTGTGTGTGTAGTGTGTTGGGTGGTGTGTGTGTGTGTGTGTGTGGGTGGTGTGTGTGGTGTGGGTGTGTGTGGGTGGGTGGTGGGTGGGTGGGGGGGTGGGTGGGTGGGGTGTGTGCTGTGTGGTGGGTGGGTGAGTGTGCGGTGCGTGTGAGTGTGAGTGTGAGTGTGCGTGTGCGTGTGCGTGTGCGTGTGAGTGTGCGGGTGTGTGTGTGTGTGGGGTGTGTGTGTGTGTGTGTGTGTGTGTGTGTGTGGTTGTGTGTGTGTTGTGGTGTGTGTGTGTGTGTGTGGTGTGTGTGTGGGTGGTGGGTGCGTGCGTGCGTGGTGCGTGCGTGTGTGCGTGTGTGCGTGGGTGCTGTGTGTGTGGGTGTGTGCGGGTGTGGTGTGGGGGTGTGTGTGTGGTGGCGTGTGGTGCGTGTGTGGTGTGCGTGTGTAGTGCGTGTTGTGTGGTGCGTGTGCGTTTGGGGTGCGTGTTGTGGTGTGCGTGTGTGGTGTGTGTGTGCGTGCACCCCTGTCCGCCGCTGCGCTGCCCTCCACAGCCCCCACCCACACCCCCCCCCCGTCAACCCCGAAAGCGTGTGTGCGCGAGTATGTTTGTTGTGTTGCGAGTGTGTGTGACTGCGTGTGTGTGAGGTGAGTGTGTGTGCGTGAGTGGGTGTGAGTGGTTGGGTTGGAGTAGGGGGTCGGACGTGCGTGGGTGTGAGGAGTGGGTGTGCGCTGCGTGGGGGTGTGTGCGTGGGTGTGTGTGATGTGTGATGCGCGTGGGTGTGTGTGCGGGGTGTTGCTGCGTGGGTGTGGCGCGTGGTGTGGCGTTGGGTGTGGTGGGGTGACGGTGGGTTGTGCGTGGGTTGCGCGTGGGTGCGCGGGCGTGCGCGTGCGGGGTGCGTTGCGTGAGTTTGCGTGCGTCGAGTGCGTGAGTGCACGTAGCGTGCGTGTTGAGTGCGTGCGGGGCGTGCGGGGTGCGTGAGGTGAGTGGTGCGTGCTGGTGCGTCGAGTCGTGAGTGGAGTGCGTATGAGGTGAGTGCGTGAGTGCGTGCGTGCGTGAGTGCGTTGCGTTGAGTGCGTGTGCTGTGCGTGGGTGCGTGGCGGTGCTGTGCGTGCGTGCGTGCGGGTGATGTGGTGAGTGAGGCGTGCGTGCGTGCGTTGAGTGCGTGCGGTGCTGTGAGTGAGTGCGTGCGTGCGGGCGTGCAGTGCGTGCGTGCGGGCGTGCGTGGTCGCGTGAGTGAGGTGAGTGAGTGAGTGTATTGGGGGGGGTGGGTGGGGGGCTGGGGGGGATGCGTGAGGAGTGAGTGAGTGCGTGACGTGAGATGCGTTGAGGTGCGTGCGTGTGTCGTGCGGCGTGTCGAGTGAGTGCGTGAGTGAGTGAGGTGCGAGCGTGAGTGCGTGAGTGAGTTGCGTGAGTGAGTGAGTGAGTGAGTGCGTGAGTGAGTGAGGTGAGCGTGCCAGTGCGTGGGACGTGAGATGTGCGTGAGTGAGTGCGTGAGTGAGTGGTGCGTGAGTGCGTGGTAGTGAGTGAGTGAGTGAGTGAGATGAGTGGTTGAGTGAAAGTGAAGATGTGAGTGCGTCGAGTGCGTGAGTGAGTGAGTGCTAGTTGAAGTGCGTGTGGTGCGTGAGTGGTGCGGAGTGAGTGAGTTGCGTGCGTGAGTGCGTTGCGTGAGTGATGTGCGGGTGCAGTGCGTGATGTGCGATGAGTGCGTGAGTGCGTGAGTGAGTGAGTGCGTGAGTTGCGTGAGTGCGTGAAGTGCGTGAGTGAGTGAGTGGTGAGTGAATGTCTTTGGTGCGGCGTGCGTGCGGTGAGTGAGTGCGTGCGTGACGTGAGTGCGTGCGTGCGTTTGCGTGGTGAGTGAGTGCGTGAGTGCGTGCAGTGCGTGGTGCGTCGGTGAGTGCGTGCGTGCGTGCGTGCGTGCAGTGCGTGCGTGGGTGCGTGCGTGCGTGGTCGTGTGGGAGTGCAGGCGTGAGTGCGTGCTGTTTGTGAGTGGAGTGCGTGTTGAGTGCGTGAGTGAGTGCGATGCGTGATGTTGCGTTGCGTGCGGGGATGTGAGTGGTGAGTGGTGCGGTGGCTGTCGATGTGAGTGCGTGAGTGCGTGCGTGCGTGCGTGCGTGGCGTGGTTGCGTGCGTGCTGTGCGTGCGTGCGTGAGTGCGTGCGTGCGTGAGTGAAGTGCTGGGCGTGCGTGCGTTGCGTGGTGCGTTGAAAGTTTGCGTGCAGTGATGTGCGTGAGTGGTGCGTGCAGTGCGTGCGTGCGTGCGTGCGTGAGTGAGAGTGCGTGCGTGCGGGTGAGTGAGTGTAGTGCTGCGTGCGTGCGTGCGCGTTGCGTGCGTGCGTGCAGTGAGTGGTGATGTGTGCGTGCGTGAGTGTGCGTGATGCGTGTTGCGTGCCGTGCGTGGTGCGTTGCGTGCGTGCGTGCGTGAGTGCGTGCGTGAGTGAGGGTGGGTGCGTGCGTGCGTGCGTTTGCGTGCGTGGTGAGTGAGTGCGTGCTGCGGCGTGCGTGCGTCGCGTGCGTGCTGTGCTTGTGCGTGCGTGCGTGCGTGAGTGCGTGCGTGAGTGAGTGGCGTGAGTGCGTGCGTGCGTGCGTGAGTGCGTGGTGTGCCGGGCGTGCGTGCGTGAGTGCGTGCGTGCGTGAGTGCGTGCGTGCGTGCGGCGTGCGTGCGTGCGGTGCGTGCGTGAGTGAGTGCGTGCGTGCGTGCGTGCTAGTGGCGCGCGCGCGCGGGTGTGTGTGTGTGTGTGTGTGTGTGTGTGTGTGTGTGCGTGGGTGTGTGTGTGTGTGTGGGTGTGTGTGTGTGTGTTTTTTATTTGTTTTCTGTTCCTCTCTCTCTTTTATCACTTAGGAGCTTCAGGCCCATCGCAGCACTCGTTTGTGTACTGGCTTCGTGGGTTGTGCGGAGAGTCCGTATGAAACAGGTCTGTGCTGTCGCGTCTTGTGGGGTCCAGATGGGCAAGTGGAGCAAAATCAGTGTGAATGCATCTCCATCTGTTTGCATGTTACATCCTCTTGTGCTAGCCCACTATCTGGGAGGCAGAGAAATTTGGTTGACCGAACGGTGGAATTTGCGCAAATAGCCGGGCCACTGGTCTGCTCTTGGGCCAGGGCCTTTGCTCCACTCCACCCTCTCCACTCCACGCGTATGCCGGGTGTGCCGGAACGTTCGTCGAAATCAATCAGCCCTAAACCCTGAACCCATCTAAGTCGTCGTAGACATGAAGCCCTGAACCCTGAGCCCATCCAAGCCCATCCACGCCCTTTTCTGCGACACCTCCCGGACATGGACGAAGCTTCCGCGATGGAATCCCTCCAAGCCCGACTTTTTCGCACCACCCTTGCATGCCAAGCTCCGTGGTTTTCAAAACGCCAGCCAAGCCAAGAAAGACGTGGGAGGGAGCTGTCATTCCCCCTTCCCCTTCGTGTTCCAGGACGCCCTTTTGTGTTTGGAACTGCTGAAGGCTTGGCAAACCCTAAACCCCTAAACCCCTAAACCCCTAAACCCCTAAGAACCTAAGAACCCCTAACCCCTAAACCCTAAAACATGCAATCAACCGGGTTTCTGCTCGCCACACGAAGGAACGCCGGCCTCCCGAAGTTCCCAATGCCTTGGCTGAGTGTGAAAGGCACGCCTGACTATTCTACTGTTTGCTAAAGAACCCTCGAAGAAAGTATGAATCCCTGTATTGCCCCTATAAGGAATATATACATATATATTTTTTTTTTGGGGGGGGGGATTCGTAAGCAAATAGAAGACTATTGTGCAGGAAGATTCGCATGTGATTTGCCTTGCTGGCCAGGGGCGAACGTGTTAACAGCGTTCCGTACGTGGAGCTGGATGGCGCAGGCTGGAAAAGATAAGGTTAAGGGTTAAGGGTTAAGGGTTTAGGGTTTCGGGTTTCAGGTTTAGGGTTTAGGGTTTAGGGTGTAGGGTTTAGGGTAAGTATATAGTCGTGGTCGTACAGCCGTATGCTGTAGCGTTGAGCTATGTTGAGCAATCGGGCGCATGTGATCCTCAAAGGTGCGATTGTGCCTCTCCGACCACTGCAGGTGAGCCTTTGTGCTTGCTGTGCCGGCAGAGAGGCAACGTTGGTTTTCCTCTAGCCCATGTTGGCCCATGTGGGCCCATGGGAGGAGTTCCCAAAATAGGGGCACCCCCTGTATACCCCCAAATGAACCAGAATCCCCTTCAAGGAAGCCCCCCGAAAACGTGCCCTAATCTTCGGATGTTGGCCCCTCGTCCGAGATTCTACCGGACCATGTGGGCACTGCGCAGGTCTGGAGCACTTCGCAGGAGCTCCTCACGCAGACAAGGTCCTGACCTGGTCAAATATGCATCACAGCACCTGAGTTGCAAGCATCTGCTGAATAATTCAAGGGTAATTCCTGAGTGTTTCTATCAGCAAATGTAACGATACCTGTGACTAGAATCTATGATATGACCTTATGACATACCTACCCATGAACCTTCAAGTGCACTCCGAAGGCATGCTGTCGTGTCGTGCTGGGAACATCTTGCCACTGCCTTAAGCACCCAAAACCTACCTTTTTTTGCAGGTTCTTCTTATACAGCCCCTTATAGGATTCTTAGGCAATCTACAAAAAAATAAAAAGTAGGTTTTGGGTTCTTAAGGTGTTGCTGCATGTGCTGCCGCACTCTCCTTTCTGGCCTGTTGTGGTATCTGCGCTGCCCAGGTCAGCAGGTAATGACACGTAATTCATGGCAGAAGGATCCCTAAACCCTAAACCTTAAAACCCTAAACCCTAAACCTTAAAACCCTAAAACCCTGAACCCTAAAACCCTAAACCCTAAGCCTTAAAACCCCAAACCTTAAAACCCTAAGCCCTGAACCCTAAACCCTAAACCCTAGAGAGGAAACAGTCAAGTTGAGCCGAAGGCCTTGGCCAGGTTCTGCGTGAGCTGTCGGTGCAGTCGCTGCCACTGAGCTTCAGCTGAGATCGACGATGACAATGCCTTTCGATGTGGGTTTAGGGTTTAGGGATTAGGGTTTAGGGTTTAGGGTTTAGGGGTTTTGGCCCAGGCTTCCGGCTTCATCGGAAGAAGACGCGGCATTGGTGAAGGCAGGAAATCTCGAAAGCTCGGGTCATGTCAGGTAGTCTGATAGTCTGTGCATGGTACTGTGTGTTTCCAGGTCTGGCTTCAGGAAGTTCGTCGCGCAGCTTTGGCCCTAAGCATGAGAAAGAATCTGCCATAATCCGACGGGTGATCGCGTGAAGTCAGGTCCTCGGCTCTGAGTCGGGTCAGCAAGATGTTGAGGTGTGGCCTTCAGCTTTTCTTGCGATGGCAACCAGGGGTCAGAGAGGGAAGACATACGGTTGGCTCTGCAAAACAGCAAGTGAAGGCTTCGCGTGTTTTCTGGCACCTGCTCTTGGGGTCCTGCTCCAGAGCGGCCCGGCTTCTGGACGTGAAGGAGGCTGGCTAGATGCCTTTGCACATCGCAGCCGCGTGTCCTGTCCGTGTGCAGTGTCTCAGGCGCTTGACAGGGCCATCTATTGGGGTGGGTTGCCGGAGCCGAAGCGCCTCGGCTGTGGTTTCTAGCCACCTGGCAACCTGTCAACCATGCTCATTTTTTTTGTGGAATCCCCTGTGGACTCGTTCGCCACGAATTGCCATGAATTCCACAGAGGGTAAGTGGCAATGAACGTGGTGCTTATTGCTGTGCATCAATCTCGGGCGACCTCGGGCGGTTCGCTGAAACTCGTTGCTCTCAAAATCCCCGAGTTGGCACCTGTAGCCAGGAGAAGTACAGCAACATAGTTTCTGCCAGAAACTAGACAAGCCTCTCCTTGACAACCAGGACAACATTCGCGCACACGCACTTGCATTTACATGCCGCGGAAGCTCAGCAGCGGAGCGGTGAAGCCATGCTTTCAACTGCTGCGTGGGCTGTGACATGACCGACGCGTATATACTCGAATAGTATGTCGCATGGACTTGTTGTCCCACGGTGTCCCTGAACAACGAGTTTGCATCGCTAATCCCGAAACCCTAAACCCTAAACCCTTAACCCCTAAACCCCTAAACCCTAAACCCTAAACCCCTGAGATCTGTGAGCACTGCCTTTCAGCTTGGAGCGCGCTTTGGCATGCCGAAGCTCGGATACCTAAACCCTAAACCCTACACCCTAAACCCTAAACCCTAAACTGATAGGTGGGCGGACATGCCGTGGCGCATGCCACCTCCACCACGCGCAGGGGAAGATTTTCCTTGGCGTGGGCCTCGACGCATCGAGCATGGTACAAAGTGTAGCAGAATAACCCTAAACCCTAACCCCTAAATGCGTAAACCCTAAACCCCTAAACCCTAAACCCTAAACCCTAAACCCTAAACCCCTAAACCCTAAACCCTAAACCCCAAGTGCACATTGGGAGACTTCGGGAGGCCTTACCATCCCGCATTGAAGCTGTCGCCTTCGACGCCGCCCGAGGTGTCTGCGCGTCTGCCCCGCAAAACACCGCAAATAGGGTTTAGGGTTTAGGGTTTAGGGTTTAGGGTTTAGGGTTTAGGGTTTAGGGTTTAGGGTTCAAATTCGCATCAGCTCTGTGTGTCATCTTCATCTGCAAACAACGCTGCCCAGGCTTTCATGAGTGTATCTGCCCAGAAGAGAGTTCTCGCCTAGCTCGAATTGCCCCCATCTTCTCAGGCATAGATACAAGCATGTGCATATCTATATAGACGTATGATCATACATACATATATGTATACATATACATATACATATACATATACATATACATATACATATACATATACATGTACGTATACATATACATATACATATATATATATATATATATTGTTTTGTTATGTTGTGTTACGTATTGCATTCTTATCATACATAGATGTATATACATATGTAGATACATAAGATTAATGCTAATAACAACTTTTGCAATCAGAACGAGAATAATTTAATAATAATCATAATACTAATAATAACCATAATGAAATCATAACTTCATAATAAGAATAATAATAATGGTATGCACTCGAACCTGTCCAGGTGTTTAGCGCCCTCTCCAAGCAAGCTCTGCTGCAGGAAGGACTGGCAGCCCAGGCCAGCTTGAATTGAGAATTCGGCATCGCAGGAGGTTTATGCGACACCTCATAACTTCGTCTAAGCCCCTAAACCCTAAACCCTAAACCCTAAACCCTAAACCCTAAACCCTAAACCCTAAGTAGACTAGAAGGCAAGCATTGGAAAGGGGTTGGCATGCAGGGTGATGCGAAATCAGCCGGGGCGCACCAGGAAGGCGTCCGAGGTTCCTTGTGGTGTGCCTTCTGCCGGGAGCCCAGTTGTTTAGGGCTAAGATGGGCTAAGGGCCTTGATGTTTCATGTGATGCAAGACCCGAAACCCAAAGAGATGGCCGACTGGAGCACTTTTTCCATCAAGGCTGCAAGCCAGTGCACGCGGCCCAGTTCTGCTGCTGCAATCACATCGTTTAGGGTGGGTTCAGGGTTTAGGGTTTAGGGTGTCGGGTTTAGGGTTTAGGGTTTAGAGCACTGCCGCAGGCAGAGCCTGAATCAGCACCTGGACCGGACATCCCAAGAGGTACACTGGCTTCACTGTTGTTCCAGACGCCGTGGCTTTCAAGCGCTGTGATTCATGCGTTGCCCCGCTGAGCCCGGACCCGAAATTCAAGAGCCTCCGGCTCAAGCCGCCGACCGCGCAAGAGAACAGGGTGTAGGGTTTAGGGTTTAGCGGCCAACCCAGTGAGATAAAGAAGCATGTCAAACCGAGGGTTTCAGGAAAGTTTCAGGGGGGTCCTGGGGCAGCACCGGGTCCCAAGCAGTTCACCTGAAGAGGTTTTTAAGGGAGGTTTAGAAGCATGTCACGGCGGGGTTTCACGAAAGTCCCAGGGAGGTCCCAGGGGAGGTTCCCAGAGGGAGGCTTCAGGGGGGTTTAGGACAAATTTAAGACCTCTCAGCTCTAGGATGCTCACCCAGCTCCTATGGTCCTTGAAGTCGCACGGCAGGGAAAAAGCCGCCGGGGTACCCCACTTACCCCCCCCCCCCCACCCTCCCCCGCGTTTGGCGTTTGGGGGGTGTAAGGAGGGAAAAGGGAGGTTTCACACGCGAACCCTAAACCCTGAACGCTAAACCCTAAACCCTAAACCCTAAACCCTAAACCCTAAACCCTAAACCCTAAACCCTAAACCCTAAACCCTAAACCCTAAACCCTAAACCCTAAACCCTAAACCCTAAACCCTAAACCCTAAACCCTAAACCCTAAACCCTAAGCAGCTCCTGGTTGGGTGCAGGCGCGGGATCACCTGAAGGCCAAGGCTGCTTGCCAAGCGCTGACGGACAAGCTACGAGTTGAAGGCCGGCAGCAGCGTTTGTCTTATTATTCTTATTTATTTATTATTATTATGAGTATTATGATTTTTATTATAATTACAATCATAATTATACTTATACTTATAATGATCATAATGGAAAATATTTTGTTCAAAGGTTTCATGGTGCTTTGGGTGTGGGGTTTAGGGCTTCGGGTTTAGGGTTCAGGTCTTAAGGCAGTAATTTTAAAGGGGGTTAAGGGCTTCATAGGTTTCGTAGTTTTCACGGGGTTGGAGGTGGTTCAAGGTTTACAGTGTTGGAGCGGGGGGGGGGGGGGGGGGTTCGGGATCTTTCGGAGGTTGAAGGTTTTGGGGGCATCTTTAGGGTTAGAGATGAGCTCCCATCAAAACAGAGACGACGTAGAAGTTTTCTCATGCAAAAAATCAACAAATACAGGTCCTCTGTTTCAAAGATTATAGAAGGAATTTAGGGGGTTTCCTTCGAAAACATAAAGAAAATAGGGTTTAGGGTTTAGGGTTTAGGGTTTAGGGTTAGGGTTTAGGGTTTAGGGTTTCGGGTTTCGGGTTTAGGGTTTAGGGTTTAGAGTTTAGGGTTTAGGTTTTAGGGTTTAGGGTTTGTAAGAATGCATCTTCTGGCCAGGTTGGCAGCTCCGCCGGGAGGGGATGCACATCGTGAAGCACCGTGACGAAGCGGAAATAGTCAAGCCATCGTGAGCTATCAATTGGGATGTTCCCCCCCTTAATACTAACAGTCCTTAATGGGGATTAATAATTTAGGGTTTAGGGTTTAGGGTTTAGGGTCTAGGGTCTAGGGTCTAGGGTTTCCGAAATTAGGGGGTACCTTTTTGGGGTCCTGATTATAAGGGATTCCTGCTATTTGGAGTCCTTAATGAGGATTAATATTGAGGGGTACTATAATCCCGGAGAATCCCGATTAAGGACTGTTAGTATAAGGGGGAACATCCCAAGCAATATGGTTCTCTGCGGCACGTGGCGCCGAGGCTTTCGTTGCGTCCTCTGCAACGCATCGGGAAGCTGGATGCAGATTTGGGACCACCACACGAGCCAGCACCACAAGCACGCGTGCGCCCAGTTGCCTCGAACCCTTTCGTTTGTGCACATGACATTGACAAGGGAAGGCATATGCTTCTTCTGGAAGCCTTTTTCTTCTTACCTTCCGTGGTGTGTGGGGTTCGATCTTAAGTCAGCCATTCTCGAAGATACCTGGAGCACCCATCCCCAAAGAGTTGCGCAGAGAGCCCCGCCGAGTCTCCCTGGAGTGCCCAACCCCGCAAAGCAAGGCGTCCGACCGAGTATCCCTAGAGCCGGACCCACCCCAGGGACAATGTCCCCGGCTCTTGTATCGCTGCCTACTATTAAACCAAGCCAACACCAAAGTCTGTACAAACAGATCATAGCATTAACAGATATATGTATATATATATATATAGAGACACACATACATAAAGGACGGGCATGCTTGCATCAAGCATCGCTTGCTTGGCAAGGTGAAGGCCTGTACTCACACTTTGCCTGGCAAGACCTATCGAAAGCTAGCAATCACCTAGCTGTTCTCATCTTCGTTTTAGGGTTTAGGTGACTGTTGGAGGCCGGACTTCTCTCACGCGTCCAAAGTGCTAACAATTAGCTGGATCGGAGGTCGCGATCCTTGTAACGAGCCGTCGTTGTTGGGAGAGCGAACTTGCCAGCATGTCTCCAAGCTGCTGAAAGTCACAGGGGTTTCGGACGAACAGAAAAGGAGCCGCAGACAAGGTACCCACAGACTCCACCCGTTCACAAGTATTGCCAGTGAATAGGTTGCCGCATGAACAGTCGAACTTGATGTGAATCCAGCACTCGGAGTTAACTAAACCCTAAACCCTAAACCCTAAACCCTAAACCCTAAACCCTAAACCCTAAACCCTAAACCCTAAACCCTAAACCCTAAACCCTAAACCCGGATTCAGGTACAAAGCGCTGCAATCGAGTCGCTCACCTGCTGCTCTACAAGCACAGCACAACAATGAACAGTTTAAGGAGGTCGGGAGGTGATTTTAGGGTTTAGGGTTTGAGGGTTTTAGGGTTTAGGGTTTAGGGTTTAGGGTTCAGGGTTGAGGGTTTAGGGTTTAGGGTTTAGGGTTTAGGGTTTTAAGGTTTAGGGTTTAGGGAATAGGGTGATGACGTCTTCGAAAAGTTTGGCAGCTCAGACTCACCCTCCTTGTCCGTGACAGGCAGAGGAAAAAGCCTGGCAAGCTGCATTCGATGCCGATCGAAATGCAGTCGTGTAGGCCGGCACCGGGAGTTGCTGTCTTGGTGTTTTTTGTGTAAGTTTGTTGTCTCGAAATTCCTGTGGTTCAGGTTTACATCTCGGACACTTCCTTCTTATTCGCCCTGCCAAAGGCATGGGCTCTACCCGCGTCCGATCAACAGAAAACGGCCCGAACGCCTCCTGAAGTCTCTAATGGCACGCTCCACTGCTGGCTGCGCATAGTGACTTTTACTACTATTTTGCTTAAGAACCCCTCAAAAATCAAAGATAGTACTCCCTTTATTGCCCCTTTTTAGGAAGAGCATTTTAATGTGTTTGGGGGGTTCTTAAGCAGCTGGTAGTTTGTGCTGCATCGAGCCTTTCTGGAAGCCAAGGGGCTCAAGTGCATGTGGACGCCTAGGCGCACGCAAAGCCCCGAATTTGCGCATGCACGAACTCCTCCATGCGCCCGCTGACCTGTACCCAAAGACGTGGGAGCTGGGCAGACTGCGCAGATAGGAGGCTCCCTCTGGTGGAACATACCTCGCTGGTTCAAAAACTTTCAAAGGCGGACAGATGGTGTCATGCTTGGGATGCCCAAGCCCGCCTGCCAACAAGGCGACTCCTGCCCGACCAGAGAAGTTGCACAGCTTCCTTGAAGAGCTTGCGGCGTCCGGCAAAGTGGGCTCTGGCGTTAGGCTTTTGCAGCAAGCTTGGCCTTGCGATGGTGGAGGCGAACCAGATTGTATTCAATGCGTTGACCAGCACCTGCACCAGCTTTAACGACTGGCAGCCTGCACTAGCCCTCTTGGCGTGCATGGGTACGCTTCAGATCCTCCAAGATATCATCAGCTACAACACTGCGCCTCGGCAGCCGCTGCCATGAAAGCAGTGAGAGGAGGCTGACAGTTCCCAAAATAGGGGTACCCCTGATGAATACCCCATAAAATACGAGAAATCCTGTTTATAGGACACCCTTAAAACGGGGTACCCCCTTCTTTTTGGAAACCCCAAAATATGGTGGCTTGCCGTGGCGCCTCGTGGTGTTGGGGCTCAGGTTCTTGCTGCCTGTGGAACAAGGGAGATGAGCGCCTGGCAGGCCGCCATGGAACTTCTAAGAGACATGCACGTGGTGGCCCTCTGCCTGGACACAATCAGTTGGGGCCTCACTTGCTTCCCTGGAGATGGGATTATAGGCCACAAAACGGGTTATTGTGATTGCTATTATTACTATTATGATTGTTATGACTATTGTTATTCTTGCTATTATTGTTATTGTTAATATTGTAAGAAATAGGTGAAGAATGTGAGGTCAAGGCAGCGCTCTGGCTGCCTGCGCCTGCAACAGCGATTGGCTTCGTGCCGCTGCACTGCACGACGCGATGATCCATTCCGGCATTCGGACCAGCAGCATCACCTGGAATGCATACATCAACTCCTGTGAGGGCGCTGAGTGGGGCAGAATACTGATTTTGCTTAGGCAGATGCAACTTGTGGGCCTCCAGCAATCCCCGGCAACCTTGACTCCAGCTGTTAACGCTGCTGGGGTGCGCAGCTGCTGGACTCGCGCCATTTCTTTTCTCGTGGCCTTCGGGCGCTATGATCTCATCCTCCTGAACAGCGCCATCGTCGCATACAGCATGGGGCACCACTGGAAGGCAGCGCAGTCATTCCTGGAGACCATGAGGGAGCTGCGCTGCTGTGACAAGGCCAGTCTCAGTGCAGCAGTCACCTCGTGTGAGAAGGCGAAGGCGTGGCGCTGTGGCCTCCAGCTGGTACAGGAGCTGCTCCACATGCCCGACTCCATCGGCTGCTCGAGTCAAGACTTGTGCAGGGTTGGTTTAGGGTTGAGGGTTTAGGGTTTAGGGTTTAGGGTTTAGGGTTTAGGGTTTAGGGTTTAGGACTCCAGCAGGAGTAGCATAACCAAGCCTCTTTGTTCTCGAGACATCGGCTGCGTAGTGGTTGGACCTGGGTAGCCTCAAGGGTGTCTTCGGAAGCAAGTCAGGTTTGGGCGCAGCAATGAGTGTTGCGGAGAAAGCCGGGCGCTGGAAGATAGCCATGAACCTCCTTGGCCACTTCTCTAAATTAGGGTCCCTTTAGGGGTTGCCATTCTCAGTTGGCCCTTAACCCAGAAAAGCGAACATGGTTTGGAGAACTCACCATTTCGCATCTTGAAGGCAAAGCCTTATGAAGAGACGATCTTCATGTTGCTTCGCCATCTGCAGCACAGCCTTAGGTGACCTGCCATTGCGGGAGGTGCCAAGCTTACTCTGGTACGTGTTCATTCAGAAACACTTCCGGGCTCTGAAGTACATACCTATTTGAGCGTGCACCCAGACAAGGTCATGCATGCACGTACACCAACTGCCTCGTGCGCCAGGTGCTTGCTGATGAGATCCATGCCAGCGCCTGCATCAGTGCATGTGAAAGGGCAGAAGTACGGAATTCGAAAAGCGTCACGCAAGTGTGAACAGCAGACAGAAGCCGACGGTGCCGTACCTTGAGAGAAAGTCGGCAAAGACAGTCACACGTGATTCGTTTTTTGCGGCATCCTGTGTTGCATCACAAAAAGTTCCCGCAGGTTACATCCACAAAAATTTGCTCGCAGCATAGCACACGCAGCCGCTGGCCGTTCATTACGTTTTGCATGCCGCTCCGTTTAAGTTGGAGATGTAGCATCTCTAGCTACTACTTGTACCCTGCAAGTGCCGCAGGTAGGTTGAGCAACTAGTAACTATAGTCCTGGACATGTGGTGTGTCCAAAGAGGAGTACACAGGTCGTTGACCTTGGTAAGGAGCGCCATGGTTCCCACAGCATACACAAATGATGCGACTTTGCTTGGCACGTGTCTGTCCACAGTGGATGTTCAGATCACAATGGTCATCCCATTTGCTCGTGAAACGTAGGGAGGGTGGTGGTGCTCGCAGCATACTTGTGAAACGTTTTTTTGCTCTCATCTGCTTGTATTGGTTGAGCAGATAGGGTTTCATCGTAAATATATGACTATGTGCATCAGCTGTCCGATGAAGGTTGCACAGCTGCTGGTGCGAGATAGCGTGTGCCCCATGAACCAAAAGGTGAGCGATATTGTTCCCACAGCATATGCAGACAGTGATGTCGTACGTTGCGCTTGTCTCTCTACAGTGGAAGCGCAGATCATAATGCCCATCTTAATTATGTGCATCTGTCGCAAGCGGATTGCACAACTGCTGGTGTGCCCCATGAGCCCGAACAGCAGGCGCGGACTTGGGTAGCGAGCATGATGGTGCCCAGTGCCCAATGCATATGCAGACAGCGTCATACTATGCGCGTGTCTGTCTACAGTGGAAGCACAGATCATAACGCTCATCTTAATTATGTGCATCTGTCGCAAGCGGATTGCACAACTGCTGGTGTGCCCCATGAGCCCGAACAGCAGGCGCTGACTTGGGCAGCGAGCGTGATGGTGCCCAGTGCCCACAGCATATGCAGACAGCGTCTCACATTGCGCGTGTCTGTCTACAGTGGAAGCGCAGACCATCATGCTCATGTTAATTTTGTGCATCTGTCGCAAACGGATTGCACAACTGCTGGTGTGCCCCATGCATGAGCCCGAACAGCAGCCGCTGACTTGGGTAGCGAGCATGATGGTGCCCAGTGCCCACAGCATATGCAGACAGCGTCATACTATGCGCGTGTCTGTCTACAGTGGAAGCGCAGATCATAGTGCTCATCTTAATTATGTGTATCTGTCGCAAGCGGATTGCACAACTGCTGGTGTGCCCCATGAGCCCGAACAGTAGCCGCTGACTGGGTAGCGAGCATGATGGTGCCCACAGCATATGCAGACAGCGTCATACTGTGCGCGTGTCTGTCTACAGTGGAAGCGCAGATCATCATGCTCATCTTGATTATGTGCATCTGTCGCAAGCGGATTGCACAACTGCTGGTGTGCGCCATGAGCCCGAACAGCAGCCGCTGACTTGGGTAGCGAGCATGATGGTGCCCAGTGCCCACAGCATATGCAGACAGCGTCTCACATTGCGCGTGTCTGTCTACAGTGGATCGCGTGCATCTGCCGCGGGCAGATTGGACAAAACTGGCCGTGGAGAGCAGGTAAAGTGTTCCCCACGAGCCAAAACAGAAAGGTTTATAGGGTTTATGGGGTTTATAGGGTTTATAGGGTTTATAGGGTTTATAGGGTTTATAGGGTTTATAGGGTTTATAGGGTTTATAGGGTTTATAGGGTTTATCGGGTTTATCGGGTTTATCGGGTTTATAGGGTTTATAGGGTTTATAGGGTTTATAGGGTTTATAGGGTTTATAGGGTGTAGCCAGCATTCCTTCTTATGACGTAACTTTGTTTCAGTTACAAGCATCACAGACCCGAAGGCGCATCGTCTGGCATCATGTAGAGAGGCTGCCAAGCCAAAGCAGTGAACTCGAGGGTTTAGGGTTCAGGGATTAGGGGGAGTTCGTGTTCTGTCGGGTTCTGTTCATGCTTTCTTAGGGCTTAGGGCTTAGGGATATGTGTGGAGGTGGCAAAGAACTGGTCGCAGACGTGAACTGAAAGTTTGCTTCTCAAGCAGCTTCCTGTTGCATTTTGAACTACGCACCCCGCTGGGTCCGATTCCTCTCGCGGCCAGCTCGGAAAGAAGCACCGATGGGTATTTCCCAAAATAGGGGTACCCGCATATCCCCCCCAAAATCACATAGTTTATATTTTGCTTTCGGAACCACCCCAAGAGGGTACCCTTATCTTCGGAAATCCCCAGATGATCCTGTGTGAGTCATCCCGAATGCTTCTCCTCTCCCAGCTTCTTCGTGCACTCTTCATGTCTTGTAAGGCCAGGCGCCATGAAGATGTCGAAGGGTGCTGCTCCGCAGAAGAGCGTCTGGGCGCCCGTCTTTCTCGTGGTGAGGGTGGGCTGTCACATATATTTATATATGTGTGTGTAGACAGATGTATGTATGTGTGTATATGTATATGTATATTGATAGATGAATATCCTTTTTGCTGTCATTATGGTACTGTTGTTATATTTCTGTTCTTCCAGTACTCTTATTGTTTAGCTCACAACACATCAACGCCTCCCAGGAGAACGAGCCAGGCCAAGAGAGTTCTGCGCTCAGACCGCCGTCGTCCTATCACGGCGGTGCGTCACGTGCGTCACGCGCGTCGCTGAGGCGCGGTGGCGGAGCCTGAGAACTTCACGACGGTTGTCGGGGCGGGAGGGCTCTTTCACAAACAGCAGTCAGGCGTCGGCAGCTCGACAGGCTCATTGCAGATGAAGAGCCTGAGGAGGGCTCGCAGCAGCTAAGGTCAGTGCAGTCAGCTACCTTTCTGCCATCTCCGAGACATTTGCGGAGATTCGGGAAGCAGCTTCCCGGCTCAAGGAAGTCGAGCGAGAGTCATGAGACTGCGTGATGTGATTAATGATTGTCAAAGTCTGTTTGGGGTTTAGGGTTTAGGGTTTAGGGTTTAGGGTTTAGGGTTTAGGGTTTAGGGTTTATTGTTTAGGGTTTAGGGTTTAGGTTTCTGAGCATCTGCCTTTGAGCTAAGCTGAGCGCTCTAAGGGACCTCTCCTGCTTACGTCGCTGTGCCTGGTGAGTGCCTTGGAGGGAGCAGACATGGCGCTGCTTCCCGCCAGATGCTGAGCCGTGGGTTATGTTCACTATTGCAGTAAAAATGACAAGAAATAACAAAAGTAGAAATAGTAATAGTAGTAATAATAATGGTAGTAATAATAATAACATTTATCATGGCTGACATCCTGCAGGCTGTGTTCTATGCCCTTCAGACGGACTTGGGTCTGCACCTGAACGATCTCGCCACGATGACCCTCATCCAGGCCCTTTCTGGATGTGATGCCTACACCCTAAACCCTAAACTCTAAACCCCCAAACCCCTAAGCGTCATGTTTCAGTAAATCAATCTTCCCCAGCACGCTGACAGGGGGTGACATCTTCCGCGGTGGCTCCATTCTGGGGAATCATTGCCGATCGCGGCATCATGAAGAGGCCTGCAATTGTTACCCTAAGCCCTAAGCCCTAAGCCCTAAACCCTAAACCCTAAACCCTAAACCACGAATTCCATTGCGCCCTCCAGGAAGACCATCATCATCATGGGCTGCATCCTCCAGGGGCTGGTCACCATGATGCTCTCCGTCGTGGATCAGACTCCTGGCTTTAATTTTTATGTGCACCTACGCCCAGCGCCCACCAAGTACCCAGAGCTTCTACTACATCTTACTACCCTAAAACATAAACCCCAAGCCCTAAACCCCAAAGAGTTGGCGCCAGGATGGTGGGAATGACGCTGCTGCGAGCACTCAACGGAACGCCCTCCGTGGGTTCACGCAATGTTGCCCTCTTCAGATCCACACTGCAGTTTAATTGGCCGAAGCCCTAACCCCTAAATCCTAAACCCTAAACCGAGTATAAAGAACGGCTGTGAAATTTCTGTGTAGTTCATCTGTGGCCAGGAGCTCTCTTAGCATCTCTCCGACCAGTCGCCAACGGAGTAATTGCCGACGTGACCTCGGAGCAGAGACGTGGGAAAGTGTCTCGCCAAAAAACCTGTTGGTGTATTTATTATTATTCTTCTTATTCTGATAACTATTATAATATTCTTCTTCTTATTGTTTTTAATTCTTAGTATCGTTGTTATTACTAGTAGTTTTTGGAGAGCTGGAATCAGTGGCAGTCGCATGCCCCTTGCGTCCGCTCTCATGGCAACAGGTCTATGGCTTTGTGCAGCTGTGCGCGAATGTGGGCCTCATGGCCACGGCCCGAGAAGCGACAACTTTCAAGTTTAGGGTTTAGGGTTTAGGGTTGAGGGTTTAGGGTTTAGGGTTTACTGCATCCTCTGCCTTGCATCCTCCGCCTCTGAGGCCGGCGGCCTCATTGGCACGCCTCTCTCCACGCAGCTGGTCTGGGGCTGGCAGGCACAGTGAATTCTGGCGATCTGTCTGCCTTTGTGCACTTGTTGGCGGGGCACTGAACGCCGTCGCGGAACTCGTAGTAACGTAGTATCTCGTAGTGCAATAAAGCTTGAGCCGGCGGCCTTCATCCCAGCACATGCTCCTCCACAGAAATCGATACTCCACACACGGAGCAATATCCTCTCTGCTGGGGCATCGCGGAAATTTTCGGGCCCAAAAGTAGGATAAGGGTTCACAATCGTTCGTGAGATCCCGTGATGATCTTTAGCCCGGCGCAGAAGCTTCACATTGGACATGTTGCCAGACGGACTGCATACAGTGGCACTGAGCGACACTACTTCATGTTCAGGGAAGGTTCGCCATATACTCTGCCACTACTATGCCATGCACCCATCGCGCGCGACCCGAGTTGATGCCAAGAAATTTGCAGGGATGGCGCATTTCCTTCATTGGCATCGGGTCGCTGTCCGTTTTGGTTGGCCTCTTCGCTGTCGTCTCCTTACCGCCACTCACTATTTCGGTGGCTGTCAAAATTATGATCCCTTTTAGGGTACCCTAAATATTAGGTGCCCTATTTTATTAGGGATCCAAAAGGGACCATAATTTTGACAACCGCCCATGTGAATGGGCCCCAGAACTTCCGGAGCATCCCCCTCCCCGAGGCATGCACGATGACGGAGCCAGAACGCGAGAACTCCGGAAAGTCGGCGAAGGCGCCCTTGAGTCATCCTCCACTAGGGGGCTTTCCGAAAATAGGTACCCTTTGTGGGGATCCATTTTAATACGCATTCTAGATCCTATTTTGGATATAGGAGAGTTATGAGCCACAATCCCCAATCTGACTTTGGGCTGCACCAGGAGCGCGGTGCGTTGAGGCCGGTTCTGCTTGTGTCTGGTCAGATGTGGCGGCGCGTCTGAGCCTGGCGCGTTTCACTCGAAAGCAGGCAGGAGCTCGGGAAGCTTCTGAGCTATTTCCGCATGCCAACCTTCTGTGTTGGGGACCAAGTGGGTGTAAGGATGTTCTTCGAACCGCCTTACAAGGATCAACTCTGAACATCTCGCCGAGCAGGCAGCTGTAGGCAGCCCCACGCATCCCTCCTGCAGTCCTGCCCATCTTGCCCAATGTTCCACCAACAAGGC